TAAGCTATTTCTAAAGCTTTGCTAAGGATAGTTAGGAAGAGCCCTCTATTATACTTGTAATGTATATTCTTAAGGTAGTAAAGGCCTAACTCTTTGTACAAGTAATAACGTAGTAGACTTAGACTTCTTTAGAAGGGTAGGCTTATTAATCTGCAAAGAGTTTTGCTTATACGCGTATCTTCTATTAGGTATAGTTCTTATAACTACTCTTCTTAAAGACCTCTATATTTAGTAGGCAAGGTTTATTATAACGTACGGGCTTCTAGAATTAGCCTAAAGTTAACGTAGTAGGTAGAGTTAATCTACTTAAACTTAGTGTACCTAGTATACTTAGAAATTTTCCCTAACTTTTAACAATTTAAGTTAGAGCCTAAAGCTATTAGCTTAGCGCAGCGTATAACGCCTATTTTTACGTTACTCTATCTAGGTTATTCTAGAGCTATTATACGTGCTTTTAAAGTTCCGCTACTTTAAGAAACTATTCTCTTACTAGAGAAGGGTCTGTCTAGCCTTTGCTTAGTGTTTCCTAGTGCATTATATTGTTATCTACCCGTAGGTTTATCGTACGGGTAGGGTTCTTGCCTTCTTGTTGTACTTTAACAAGTAGCCGTTCTTAATTCTAACTCGTTACGTACAAGAGGAAAGAGTTGTTCTTAATTCTTGCTACACACGCAAGAAGAGTAAGAAAAGAGGTTAATCTTTCTTCTAATGTTATAGGCGGAAAGAGGCCTACTAATAAGTATGCATTTGTTCTATCTACAAAAGAAGAAAGATAAGAGAAGAAAGGGTCTTCTTGCGCGTACAACTCGCCTCTTGTAGGCCTTATGCCTTACTACTTTAGTTAGCGCTAGGTTGTACGTTATATAACTAGAGCAGTCTGCTTAATACAGCGTAGCCCCTTACACTTCTAGGCTTAGACACTTACTATTCTACTATATATATATTATCTAGAACTAAGAATACTATCTTAGTTATTCTTACCTTTTGCAAGGTTGTTTAGCGTAGCGGTTCTAGACTATATTCTTACACAAGGTAACGTATAGTCTAACGTTTTTATTAGCTACTACCTTAACTTCTAGATTTACTAGATTTGTACTAGCTTTGCTCCTCTATATATACCTATAGTAGTATAGCGTACGTCTTAAGCTTTCTTACTTTGCGCATAGGCCTACTATTAGAGGTAATAAGCTCTAACTTTAGCAAGAAACGTTAAAGTCTCTCTAGCTCTAAGTTTACGTATAACTATCTTAATAATAGTACTAGCTATAGGTATTCTAGAAGATAGAATAGATTAAGAGCGTTGTTTTATATTTTATAGGTACGTTATAGTATATTGCAATATAGGTAAGGCCTATAGATTATACGCACGGATTATGCCCTCTAGATTTCCTTTTTTAGTTAGCAAATACCCCTACGCGATACTAAATCGGGCGCGGATAGTGCATAATCCGTCGCCTTATAGTGGGTAGGTCTCCAAACTCGGGCAGTCGCTCGCTTCCCACAACTTTGTCGAGCTCCATCTGCGCCTTCGCCAGCCATTCAGGATGCGCGACGCATGCGAGGACAAAGATCATGACAGTAGCGCTCATGGTTTCAACCTCGGTATCGGCGAGTATACCAACATCCCGGGCGACCTGCTGCTCATGCTCTGGGCTTCAATAGCTCTTTCAAAGTCTTTCGCCAAGTTCCATCCCTAGCGTCCGAACGCCTCGTTGTAGCTCTGGACGTGCAGGTCGTCGAACTCATGGAACCACTTTGCAGCCTGGCGCTTCCCAGGCGCAATCGCTGCGGGCAAGTAATTGAGCCACGGCAGCGCATCCAAGATGCAAACTCCCGGTTGGCCGGCAACGTGGAAGTCCTTCATGCATCCGCGAGTTCGTTCCACTCCCCTAACCTTTCCTGTATGGATACGCATCCCGAAAGCCATTGAGTAAGCCAAGCTCGTTGCAAACACTTCGACGCAATGCGCGATGCTTCCGGATGGCTCCAGAAGGCTCTTAAGTAGTTGCTGACTCTCCACGTTTTGGATAGGTGTGTAGCAAGCCGTTGCCCGCGGGCTCAACACCGGCGCTTGAAGCTTCTGATGTAGAAGAAACTCATTACCAAAAGGTTTGAAGACGATCGATTGCTGCTGCACACTAACTCGTGCCCCATAACCTATACGCATCAGTCAGTGGGTCTTCCTGATACGTCATGGCAATTTCCTACGAGACGCGGCCTGGTACTATAGATGTTCCTTCGCTTGTCGAGTTGTTCTTTGACCGCTTCATAATCACCAACTATGATAATAGTGCCTCCAAGGTTGACCAAAACAATGTTCACGTACTGCTTGATCCACTTGGTGAAGGTCAACCAAGAAGCACCTTTCGGTGCTTGGTGAAGGTTCCCGAGCAGTGGCAGGCCACAGTGGCCTGGGGGCAGCTTCGCCCGCCGAACTAGACGGGCAACTATATATACTACTAGTGTGCCTCCAACTAGGCCAAGGATGGATGTAGGCATGGTGTGAGAATTGCTCGAGGTGTTCGTTGCTCCGCTGAAGTGTAGGACGAAAGTAATGTTGCTAAATCTAGTCTAATCAACCGTCCAAGTTCGAGATGCTGAGTGCATTTGTACGAACATGATCGACAGGATCGGGCGATTGCTATACATGCAGGTGGGGCTTGTGTGACGAGGGCGGGGTTGACGACCAATCCATTGCTCGTACATATATTAGCTCTGGTTACTACCGATGTGACGAGATTTCGCCTCGCCTCATGTTTACATGTCGCTACGATGGTGATACGTGTTACTATTAGAGGTCGTTCGCCCGTCCACAATGTCCCGCCTTACAACCCTCGCAGTGCCCGCTCTCATGTGGGCCTCGAAGTAACTTGGAACTGAAAGTTGCCTGCTCAATCCTCACTCCTGCCCATGAATTGAGTCTGTACGCAACCCGCTCTATGTACGATTCCTCATCCAACTTTAGGCTCCCTAGCCAGCCGCAAGATCTGCAACTCTGGTTGTACACAATAGCGTTGTATCCGTTACGAGGATATCCTCTAATCCAGATCGCTACGAGTCCACTACTCCATTCGTTTTTGCCGCATCTCTTGTTGACGCATGTAAATGCTCCTATAATATTCGTGTCCGACTTTTTCTTAGGATGGGCCTCTGTGTTGAGATTGAACCACGTCGAAATTATGGCGGGCGCGACAGCTTCCGCAATGCGTTGGTGTAGTTCGGGAAACATGAAGGAAGTCCTCGTCTCCTTTTGTAGTTTAGGGATCCGTGCTCGACCAACATTTGGTCGTGCGATAGTCATATTAACATCCGATATAGTGAGGGCCTGCAAAGTATCCTCAAGTGGGATAAAGTCCAAGTCGAATGTCGGATTTGAGTGTAAACTGTTTTCCGTCGCGGTGTGGCCGCTGCGCTGGCCATTGTGTGTTGCCGAAGGGACATCGGAAGGTGTTGAGAACGTCAAAGGGACGTGTTGGGTGAAGGGAACAGGCGTGACTGACGTAGTGACTGAGTCCCTTCTGGATCTTTGGTGAACTGGGGCATCGTTTTGGTGCTGAGTCAATGCATTCTGGCTACTAAAAGAGCGATTGCATGCCTCGCAGTCAAAGTGTCCATGCTTTGGTGAGTCCTCTTTATGTTGTTTGAGGGCCTGCTCGCTGGCGAAGGTGCGATTGCACAATACACAAAGGCTCATTGCGAGTCCTGTCTAAGCCGGTGGTGAATGTTTAGCTCAAGGTTGTGGCTACGTGGGAAGTGCCAACGATTGCTAAGTTCAACTTATAAGAAATGTATCGCAACGAAGTCAGTGTTTTGTGGAGGCCCTATACTATTTTGGAGCCAATAGTAAAGTGACACATCACGCGCTGTGGCTGCATCTGCGAGTTGATTCCTTGGAAGTGCATGCATAAACTGACGCGGAGTGCGACAAGTTCAAACTGCGCCCCACATATACCAAGGCTCACTCTTTACAGGCACTTATCAGGACGATTACGGTCTAAGAACAGGATTTCTGATCAGGCTGAGGATTCATGTGCGGGGTCAAGCGGCTAAGCGGCTTAGTATGCAGGGTGTCGTGTTTGCGCATATGCAGAAGTCCTCCATGAACAACGCCCCAATAGTTGGATGGGATGCCGTTCACGAATACTCATGCACGTACCCAACACGAGATGTCTCCAGAACGATCCTGCGTTTAGGATCAAGGCTCTTTGTCTTTAACTCCAGCGCCAGTCCAACGATTACCCCCCCGATTTTCCCAAGATCCTACGGACAGTGCCCCCCGAACTGTTTCAATTGCGATGGCTAAAAAGGTCAAGGGCGCGAAAGCAGCCAAAGATGCGCTTCCTCGACTGAAAACAAGGTGAGGCAGGGTTCCTCCATCCCTGCAAGCACATCTTTTTCAAGCCGACTACCTCTGCCTATATACAAGTCCATCTGTCACCTTACACTTTAGTCCTACTTATTAGATATACCATCTCCCAGAGGTTCTGCTGCAAAGATTGGAGAATATCCCGGGTCGTGATCGCTGGACAAACGAGATTTACCTCGTAGATGTTGACGCGAGCATTGGTCACGTCTTGATCTACTTTCTACACACGGGTGTCTATTAGACACTTAACGACAAAGATTCCGAGAATGCCGAGAATACCTACCTCTTAGGCCGCGCGTACTAATAGTACCGACAAACGATTAGGTTAGTGCACTAGAGTACGTTTCATGCGCATCTAGACACAAAACAGAAAAGAGCTGCCGTGACTTGCTATTTGATCACGTTAAAACTTCTGCAAAGAGCTTATTCAAAGAACTCGCGCGGAGAACGTGTGCGAAGAGCTTGCGCAAAGATATCGTGCAGAAAGGCAAAGGTCTTGAATTATTACAACATCGAAAGCGAACGCCATCTCTATCTATCCCGCGAGCGAATTGCTAAAACGAACAACAAAGCTGCTTCTATATACGCATCGTCGCGGCCCTCGCGCTGTTACTACCGTCGCATTGTCGCAAGCTCAAACAGCGCACTTATACGACTCCGGCTTTGTCGCATCTGCATCCTCCGAAACAAGGCGCGCCTTCGACGGGTACGGGCACAAGATCTTGTCGTACTGCGTTCCCTTTGTGTCGTTGAAGCTGATGGGAAGCGTCTCAGGGACGACGGCCTTCTCGACCCAGTCGACGAGCGCCTTGAACGTGGCGGTGGGCTGGCCGCCGCTTCCACCAGCGCAGTGAGCGAGACCGGGGACTTGGAAGTAGCGGAAGAAGTCGTCCGCGGCGGGATCGAGCTCCATCACGCGACCGTAGTAGTCGTCGGTGCCCTTGTGCGGAATGAGTCCGTCGGCCTAAACAAGGGGTTAGCACGGGTTCAAGGGGAAAGGCGTGGCTCGTAGACCGGACGCGACGGGAGCCGAAGAGCGCATGGAGGGAGACTTACCAAGCCGTGGAATGTGATGATCTTGCCACCAGTCTTGCGGTATTCCGAAAGGTCAGCATCGTTGCTTCCGATGATGGACTGGAACTCCTGCAGAGACGACTTGAAGAGGCTTGTGTACTCTTCCACCGATTCAATCAGCGTGTAGTTCCACTGGGGGTCCTTCTTCACGAAATATTGCATCCACGATTCACCAAGACCAGCGGGATGTCCCACACAAGTACCATTGCCGTTGCAGGTAGTCGATGCGTAGCCCAGGTCAGAGGTGGTACCAGATTGCGCATCGCTACCGGTAAGACGGGCCTGGTAGTCAGCGCCGTACCAGAGGAACTCGCCGTCGGGTCCTCGAGGTCCCTCCCACGTAACGTTCGCGATGGCTGCGGCAGCTTCGCTAATGGTGACGGTCTTTCCAGTCGAGGTACAGTTGCGAACGCTGCCGACCATTGAGAACGGGTCAAAGGAGCATTTCTTCGTGTCGCTGATAACACCATCGGTAACGCCGTCGAGAGGATCGCAAGCGGCGACTGCAGCGTCCGTGAGCACGTCCAGCTCGCACTTCTCGGGGAATTGATCCGTGAGTGACATCATAACCTGTGCCCATGCCGCGCCGAAGAAGAACTGGTTCCAGTTGATCGCGGGTGCTGCCGCCGCAATGCCGTCGTAGGCTTCGGGGTAGCGCTGGGCGAGCATGAGGCCCTGTCGTCCACCCTGAGAGCATCCACTCCAGTAGGAGTACTTTGGAGGTTGTCCGTAGACAGAGTTGATAATGTCTTTGGCGATGATAGACTGGTCGTAGAGCGAACGAGATGCCATGTTTTGAAGTGCATACAGGTCGACGTTGCCTGGGCTGTTGAGCGCCCACGGGCTTGGCTCAAAGCTGTCGCCGAGGCCAGCATCTGTCGTCGTCGATACATATCCCTCTCCCAGGGCGCCGCCCATGGCGACGTACGACAGGTAGAATCGCCCGGCGACGTAACCTCCGCCTCCTACGGCTTGAAGGCGGCCGTTCCATCCCTCCAGCGGGAGCCACGTTTCGACATTGATGGTGTCGTTCTGGCCTTCGTGCGTGTATGTTACGGTAACATTGCAGTAGTCGAGTCCGCGCACTGAGATTGATGGATGGTTGTAGAAGAACTGGTCGGAAACATCGGTCGTGAAGTTTTGGACCAGGTTGGCGGAAAGGTTGAGGATGGTGGCACCGAAGACGGTGGGGTGCGGAATGGAGCTGGCGTTGCAGGCCGAGAAGGGAGTGGTGATGTTCTGCATCGTGTTGTATTGGGGAACGAGAGACTGTGGTCGGATGATGGATTGGAATGGTCGCGACATTGCTCATATAAGTATCGATGCGACACAATAGCTCTTGCTAAGTTACCCACAGCAGCTTCTCTAGTACTGTGCGCGAGTGCGCTTGGTGGTGAGGCGTAAAGAAGGACGAATACGAGCGGAAAGATACGACGTATTCGGTGGTCGGCTGCGTATCGCCCTAGGATCGCGCTAGTACGGAATTGGGCCACTCGAGCCAAGTCTTCCAGAAGGCACCCAGGAACCGCGATATCTCCTCGATTAGTATTCTGCCGACGTTGCCGACTAGCCACACCTGGCGCCTTCGATGTAAGAGAACCGCGTAGTGGGCAAGGATGATGAGCGCTTCTGGCTTGCGCATAGACAAAAGCGCCGCGAACTCGCTAGAAAGATTGATTGGAAACACCCAGAGTAAACCATTCCCATGCGGTAGCTCGAAAGGCTTTACCACGTCTGGTTCTGTCTGGTATACGATATTCAGCTCAGATGCAGCAGCACGACAAGCCTGTCGGGATTCCTGGCTCATGTCCGCGTAGTCGAGCAATTCGGACAAGCGGGCGGCCACGGCTACTGCTGTTTGCCCATTAGAAGAGCATGCTTCATGAATTGCGCTTTCAGATCGCTCTAGAAGGGGAGCAACGTTGGTCTGCTTGAGGAATTTCCAGGATTGCGCAAAGACGGCTCGGACTCCTCGATGCAGGTTCATGTACGTGACGAACCCGTCCAAAACCGCGCCCACGCCTGCATCGGCGTTTGCAGCAACTTCGGCAAGGGCGTGCAAACCGACAAGGGTGGAGAATGTGATAATGGACACACAGTTGTCTGCCGTCACTTCGATTCTCGTATTGTTGAAGGCGCACAACGCCTGGGTCTGTAGAGCTCTCGCCTCCTCAATATGACGATCTGCCTCTTCGAGATTTCTGTGACGCATATGCATGGCGGAGAAAGCCAAAACTTGATACATGGTATAAGGCTGTGACAGAATCGCTGGCATCAGGGCACGTGCTTGGCCTTTGTCGACCGACCCAGTTTCTTCGAGGCTTGGCAAGGTCTCGTAGATAAAATGGCTGAGCAACTGCATATGCCGCAGGCTGAATGAGAGGTCTGAGACACGTGGTGACGACGATGCCGGAGAGAGGTAATGCCGGTCTGCCGAAGTCGTTACGGACGGTGATACCGTACTGCTGTGCTCTACTGTACTCGGTACACCATGCGACGTGGGAGTTCCGATGTAAGATCCTGATGTGGTCTCGGGAACTGCGTTTGGTGATTGGCTGGATACCGCGCGTTGAGATGAGTCTGGTGGCCTTTGGTACGTGCATGTCCGATCATCGCGCGCGCAATTCTCGCACGTGGGCTGTGCTTCGTCGCACTAGAAGAATCAGCATGCTTCGTAGCTAGATTCTCTCCTGTATAGACGCAGGTACCCGCGGTCAAATGCAGGTCGCGTACCTTGATGTGGCGTCGTTTACACGCATGACAGCCCAGCCGAGATTTTCGATGCGCTTTTCGAAGACCCCTCCGCGGCTCAGGCATGGCGAAGTTTGGTTGATGCAATTATGATTGGCGAGAGGGCGATGGAAAGAAATACGTGAGGCGGAAATACGGAAAGCGGCGAAGGAGCAGCGCAGTGCTGAATACGGATACGCTGACTAACCGGCGCTCTAGTTTAGCGTCACCGTCATTTGGAGATGGGCTTGGGAACGTCCGTTCACGTTTCACCGACCCAGCACTGCCGCGACCATGTGGGTCTGTCATGGATCATGGTCGGTGGTCCGTATCGAGTGTACGGCGAATATCGCTACTCGCGGTCGAGCCTGAACATAATCGCAATGACGCGGCTGCAATTTACGGGACCCATGCGACGTTTCTTAAGCGCATAGCTCTCAGAAGCCTCGGGAGGGCGATCGACGTTGGCTGCAACGTGCGCGATGTCCTGCACGCCCTTGATAGCCGCTTTGATGGACTTCAAGCCGGGTGAAACCGAGAAGCGGGCTTTGTATCCGATAGCGAGAGTGTACCGAGCGAGGTGTTCTGTCACACGGTACTGTAGAAGCCCCAGCGTGGGTCGAGGTCGATAATTGCGCAAGTAAAGGGCGCAAACGTCACGCGCCTGTACGATTGATCACGGTGCCGCTGCTTCGTGGAGGTGTTAGAAACCATCGTTGATATCCGATCGTTATTCTTCCTGGAGCGTGGCAGGATGGGGTGACGGCGATGAGGTGTTGAGGACGAGGGCGGCGTGTGCCTCGGCGCAGAAGGCGCGGCGCGGCAATACGTAAATCCGACGCGTCATTCGCTGGTCGCGATCGCGTCTCCCTCAACCCAAACAAGTCACCATGCTTGCCGAACTGTCACCCACACCCAAGGCGCTAAACGGCTCCCACAATGACATTCAGTTCAGTTCAATGGCTTGTGCGAAGGCGATAGGAATCTTGCGGTTGCCTCGCGCATAATCCCGACACGACAGCCAGTCTCTTCACCGCACAGCCTTTTGGGTCTTCTTGCCAGCATGGACGTCATTCGACCCAGGCCGCAGGAGAAAATGTGGATTTCCCAGTGCACCATCGAAGAGACGGCATCCGCTACCCGCGCGTGAGGTTGATGCGTCGTGCCAGCTCAATATTGTCGCTCGTACGGTTTGACTCTTTGCTGACTGCGTAGTCACGAATCAAGAACAATCACCTCCGAAGCGCAAACCACATGCGACGGAGAGCCTACACGTCATCTCACGCGATGCCTCATCTACCGACAGATTACTGCCCTCCGCGATACACATCCCGTCTTTGGTCTCAGCGTACCTGACCGGCCGACCCTCCTACACAACGTCGTAGTACCGGCGAAAGCCGCGGACAAGGAAGGGCGACGGATGTGATAACAGGCTGTTAAAAGAGACCGATGGGCTGGCTGGCCACTGTCACACTGGTCGTTCGCATCGATTTGGCATGCACCCTGACCGCGGCCCGTATGATCGGATCGTAGCGGCTGACTGCATATGCGCACACGCCCCACCCACCTGAGTGTTGAGGTGCGAGGTACACATCGCATATAGCTAATACCATGGCCTTTCGGAATCGCTTTTTCGTACTGTTGACAAGCTGCGTCTGCAGTGGCCGACCTTATCGTCGTAAGTTGCGGAATTGTTGGCATAGTAGTCGCGTCGCGTCTGCACCAGAAGAAAGCATCGCTGTCCGTCGTACTGAAGGAAGCCTTACAACAGGGTGATGGTTTCCGCACCTGGGTAGTAAGACGTCGAAATCGACTTGTCGCGGTTCATGAAAGCCGTGTCGTCGCGCCTGGAAGCTTTGTTCGTGGGGTCATAAAGATTGAATACCGTGACCACTCCGACTCTTGTGTAGGTCACTTTATCGACTGGTACGATAGCAATGCCCGTATGAGGCGTAATCATAAGCACTTGACAAGAGTCGTGCACTTCGACGTCGAACCATACACTGCCTTCTGCAATAATGTCATTTGTCATGCGGACTTTGCATCCTCTTCCAGTCTCTGAAAGCTCGGGCGACACGTCAAACACTGCAGCAACCGGTGCCTTGATCTTCGCGTATCCCGTGGTTAATTCTCCGAGTGGATTGACTCCCTTGGGGCGAACGTCGCATTCGAGCAGTTCCGCGCATGTCTCTCGGCCAGGATCGTGGTCAAGCGCATGGTAGACTACGACGCCTTCAACAGACGCAAATGACCATGACGGAGCTCTCCAAGAGTCCGTTCGCTGTGGCGTCTTGGGAAAGAAGACGTATTCGTCCCAGTCGGGTATCTGCAGGCGCCAGAGTAAGCCTTGAAGAAACCAGCTTTTCCAGATTCCAGCGAGGCAGACGTCGCCAGTGAGCTTCTGTAGCGCCGAGATGACACCAGAAAGTGCGGGTAGTTTGTCAGTTTGAAAGGTCATGTTGCGAGATGTGTACTCTTCGATCAAGCGCGACCATACGCGCCATGCTGGGTTGAACCTCCAAGTGACCTCTGCGTTCTGGGATCGTTGAGTGTCTCGTAGCACTGGCGCGTCCTTCATGCTCTTGAGTCCCCGCGCGATCCGTTCCAAAGAGATCTCTTCACACGCTTTGTAATCTTCAATGTATCCGTCTTCGGTAAGGACTTGCTCAGAGCACTCCCATTGCATCTGGTAGCTCGCGAAGTGTATCGTGCGACGTGCCAGGACACGTTCCTGGAGGACCCAGACTCGGCTCAAGAGAGGCTCTTCCTAAGCAGCGTTAGCTTCAGATGGTGGGGCACAGACGGAGGAGGTCTGGAGACTACATCAACATGGAAGCATGCAATGTATGTAACCGAACGTCGATGCAGGCTCCCGAGTGCTCGTCTTTCCGAGGTTGAGTTGGGGTATTGAAGCTTACTCTTCGCATCTTGATCGACTGATCGATGATAGACTCCATGGAGCCGGGAGACATAGTCAGATCGTCATAATAGATAAAAACCTCGAATGACCCTTGTTCATCCGTGAAATTGACGACGTGTCGGTCTTTCGCTTTGCGTGCTTGCAGAAAGCCCTCCCCACAGTGGCTGGCACGCGTAGCAGCGATTGTGAGGCACGCGTTGGTGTACACATCAGCCATTCGAGACGCCTCCTTCTCCCAATCCGCTTTGTCGTCTTGTATGATGCAGAGACAATCTGCCCACAGGTATCGAACGCCCAGATATCTGGTAAGGAAGACGGCGTCTCGGAGGGTCGAGGGTAGCTGCTTGTACTTGATTCCATTCTTCTCTTTATGCTTTTCCAAGTTCTTCGAAATGGTCGTGATAGGCAACCCTTTTCCCCAACAATAGCTCAACGCGATATACCGGCCTGTGCTGCCTGAAGAGGGTTCTACAAGCTTCAGCGATGTGTCTTCAAGTTGAGCCCGTGGATCACCGCGGATGCCTTCGAAGTCTGCGGCTTTAGGCAGCGAGCCGAGGTCCAGAAGGCGTGTGGGTAGCAAGGTCGTTTCTTGCGTCGATTGTCGGCAGCTCGCATGGTGGTCGTCGCACTGGTTCACCCATGCCGACGTCTTCTGAAGCACGTAGGGATGTAACGAGTCCGAAATGATCTCATGCTCCCTGAAGCAGTCTGCGACGGCACTATCTGGTGTTGACATGTACCAGAACTTGCCACTGAGACGTACTGTTGGCATCTTTTCGCCCATGTACACGCTCAACCTGGCTGAGCCCACGCCCAACTCTAGCCATAATTTCTCGTCAAGGTCTTTGCAATTTGCGTGATAATGGTAGCTGTTACTCAGGCGATTGAAGATGGAATGGCAGAACGTGCACAGTTGGGTTGCACTTTTCTGCAGATCGGACAGGCTGTTGTGCCATTTGACGAATGGTGACGCTTCATTTCCGTGGTAGGATCCGGGTACCGGGAACCGCTGGAAATGGTCATTGACATCGCTATCGCCCCGGGCAAGCTTGAGAATGCTGCGGATGGGCAAGGCCTTGCATGTATTACAGAGTGCCATTGCAGACTACATTAATATAAGAACATGCAAAGTGGGTGACGAAACGTTGATGTAGACTCCAGGGTGTCCAGTCGTTTCCTGGCTTGATGTGGTCGGACGATGATGTCGCGACGAGCGTGGTATGAAGCAGGCGGCTGGTGCCTAGCTTCGCGGGACTTGGCCCGCATGAGATGACAGCGCCAGCGCGGTACGTGGATGTTAGTCATGGAGCTGCAGAAGCGCTGACTTCTTGACATTGGCGAGTGCCCGGATGGTACGTTAGATTTGATGTGAGTTCTAAATTATACGGTTGGGGTAGGCGCGAGGTATCTGGTGAATATGCGGAGGGCCTACTCTGATCGGAACCCCATTCCGAAGGCAACACCGAACCTACGCGTTCGCACATGCCATTAGCATCCACAACCCTCGCGCCGCCACGAAGCCCTGCAGTTCACGCAGGAGGCTTCTGACCCAACAGCAACGCAATGCTCTCTCCAACTATCGAAGCAATCACGGTGAACGCTCTGGCCACAACCATCCCTGCACCAGACAAGGTCTGCATTGCCCTCCTCCGGCTCGGCTTGTTTCAAATCCTCACAGCAGATAGCACAATCTCCTTCGATGGTTCTTCGACGCACATGGACAACATCACAGGCATCGCAATTTGAGCCCTCGTCCCAATCACCGCGACAAAACGGGCATGTGAAGATGACGGATTGTCGCCGCCACTCTTCCAAGCACGTCTTGTGAAGCGATTTGCCGCAGCTCGATCGACACCACACCACCTCTGAGCTTTCGTATTGAGAGAGAAGATTGCCGTCTTGACAGATGGGGCATTCGTCGTCGAAGGGCAAGCGACGGGCATGGGAGCGCGTACAACGGGGTATTGGTGTTGAGGGCGTAGAGCGTGGTGATGCCTCCGACACGGCCGGGCTTGATGTCGCACGGGATGGCACGCCGGACGATGCGCTAGATGATGCGCTGGGAGACGATCGTGTGTTGGCCGCCGTTGGCCTTCGCATCTCACTTGATGTTGTGGTGAGAGCTGGGCGACTTCCGCGCAGGCCAGACGCGGTACTTGAGACCCGCGAAGATGCCAACGACGGTACCATGCTCGCCGACACACGAGATATATGGGAGGTCGATCGCGGGCGGTTTTCGTTGGCAACCTGACGGGCGGACGATTCCTCAATGCGGCGCTCTGCATCACGAAGCATTTGTTGCATCGCAGCAAATTGCTGCTGTATCCCGGCACGTGCGGTAGCCTCGGTATCCGATGGCGCGATACCTGTCGCGTTGTTAGGTGGATGCACTGCGTCGTAGACAACGGAAGTAATACTGTTCGAAAACCCAGGCCGCTGCCTTATCCGCCTTGCCGTCAAGTCGACTTGTCCATCCATCCTTCCAGTATCACCTCCGAAGGCCTCCTCCAGACTCCTTACCCACCGTTCTACCATGCTTTGGACTTCGCACCGATGGTTACGTGAGCACAAGCCATAATAAGCAAGGCACTCAAGATCTGGCCGGAGTTCCTCAGGGTTTGGCTGTTGCGCCGCCATATCAGCGAGCAACATCTCGAACCTGTGTGTATTGGCTTGAGCTATAGGGTTGCGGCACTTGCGACCCATAGTGGGCGCCCATGCAATGCAGCGGCTGTCCAAGGAGAGCTTAAGCACCGCTTCTGGGTCCCATTGGCGGCCAGACGCGTTGGCAACGACTCTGGGGTTGGATGTGTAAAAAGACATGCTAGAAAAAGTATTTTTACTCGAGATGTATGGGACAGATTGTGTAATGAGTTTTCAAGGTAGAGTTGTGATGCTGTAGAGTTTCGAACACTGGCCGGTGTGGCCTAAGCCCAATTATACTCACCATCGCAGTCTTCGTTAACGCTCATAGCATCCATCCATACACCCACGTACCTCCGCCTGAGGCTGCCGAACCTGGACAGTCGTGGCTGTGTTCGAAGGCTCCGAGACGCAGTCGCGGGCCGGACTGCAGCCTCTCTGTCTCTCACTGGACAAACAAAAGGCGCAGCGTATCAAGCCAGGTTCTCTGGTGCGTAGGATTGAGGCTGCACGCCTCTGTTATCATGCGCCGCCTTCTGTCGAGCGTGGGGTTAAACCGTGAAGTAGGGTGGTTGGTGATGCGAGCGGGGCTGTGCGGCACGATTAGTCCCAGCGGCTTCCTGGAACAACATCCGTTTCTGACCCCGAAGCAGCACCTAGCTTCCGTTGGACGATGACATTTAACAAACGGCACATGAGGCGAAACGCGCTCAAGTCTGGAGCAGGTGTGGCAGCGAAAAGACTTGTTTCCGAGAATTGCCAGACCACCTCTACATCCCATGGCTACGGAGTGTTTGGCAAGCCATCGTCCATCATGCGTCTTGCCTTCGTCAAATCATCCGATATCTCATGATCCCAAATCCAAGCCATCCTCGATTGCGCATTGATCCGCAGCGCTTCCAAATCGTCGCCGACACCTTCGCCTTCAAACTCCCACAGCATGCCAGCTTCCTTGCTAGTCTTGACTAGCTTCTGGCTGCGCGGCCTTCTAACAGCGTCGTATGCGTGGAAGACCTTCTCGAGGGTAGTCTTCGCATGACACTGCGATAGTAACTCGCTCAGGACGTACACATCCTCGATACACATACCCGCCCCGGCGCCTTGATGCGGTGTCGATGCATGAGCGGCATCGCCCACTAGGCAGATGAGTCGCTTAGCGCTATAGTAGGTTGGTGCAGGTGGGTGGTTGAAGAGCGCCCAGATATCAGGCTTCCGTATGTTCTGCATGATTTTGCGCACGGCGGGGATCCAGTCTTTGTAGTCCTCGAGCATGTCGTCGCGTGATGTTTGCACCACCCAATTCTCGTCTTCCCATGTGGGTCGCGAGGAGAAGGCAACGACTGGAGGTTTGTTAGCTGAATCGATGAATGAGCGGAGTTGTTATACCGTTGAACAGCGTGCCGTTCGCAATGGGGAATGTCAACACGTGCCCATGATAGCCCATATACATCTGTGGCGTTCTTGGTGTCTCATCGCCCAGGATATCGACCGCGTCCGCCATCGGCAGCAACCCCCGATACGCATACTTGCCCGAGAACACCGCCTTCGCTGCTTCGGAGTCGCCTAGCACGAGAGATCTCACGCGCGACTTGATGCCGTCGCATCCAAGCACCGCACTGTGTTGCGCAGTAGACCCGTCGGCAAAGTGCAGAATCGCATCGCCGGAGCCGTCGTCTGCTTCAGTAATCTCAAATACCCTCTTCTTGAACTGCGCGACTCCTTCCGGTACCAGCTTGACCAGCTCGTCAAGAAAGTGAGCTCTGTGTACGCCCCCTCCCGGTCCCTTTCTCCCTGGTATAACAAAGATCTCTTTCCCCAATTTGACATCCTTCTTTCTTTCATCTCCAACCCTTACATGAAACCAGTTATCGCGGCTGCAGTGTTTTGCTCGTCCAAGCTACGCCGAAATGAGAAGATGACATTGAAAGACTAGATTGAGAACTTTTACGCGAGCCTAAACCCAATAAATCCAAGATGCAAGATATCAAAAGCTAGACAAAGCACCTATACGAAGATATTCCATCAAATGAGATTGAGATGCAGACGAGGAGAAACCTTCTCCCCTGTGCACAGTACTCGCTCAGGTTCCAAACTAATGCACGGTGCATTCCCGTCATTCTGCTGTCTCGTTCTTCACATTGGTCCTTGGCGCCTCTTTACCGGTGAGCTCTTGTGCTTTGTTGTTCGGGCGTAACCATTGTTCAGCGAGATCTTGCGCCTCACCGATTCTGCGTAATGGCACGGAACCGTCGTCGAAGACTCTCATCGTCTTCTTCGTCCTGTTAACCCACTGTATCTTTCCTTTTGAATTCATCACCGGGTCGGAATATGTTGTGATGGTATACTCTGGTTCGTAAAGGTGCGTGCCTTCTTGGTAATAGTAGCCAGGCGCTCGCAGAGATGCTAAAAACTGTTCCTTCGTCATGTGGGCGGGCTGAGGGAGCGCGAAGTGTGCATCGATGTCGTCATCATCGTCTTGAACGTCGCAGTCGATCGTGGGGATGTCGTTCCTGTCCTTCTCGGCTTCTCCGTTAGCTTCCTGTGATGTTGATTAGTCTCAGAGCACATTCTCATGGCTGGAATGACATGAAATACCTGTTCCGCGGTCAAGGCCAGGAATCGTGCGGTATTGTATTTGCCCGTTTCTGCAAACTCCGCAGATCCTACCACCTCTTTTTCGATCTTGGTATAGTCTTTCTCCGCACATTTCTTGACCACCAGAGTGCCGTCCGCTGCGACTTCCTCTTCCACCTGCTGCTCCTCCGGGTCAACCGACATGTGGCCGCTTGCGTCGCTATCACTATCTTCACCGGGGGGAGTTGGCTTGTACGCTCCGGTACCGTCGTCGTCGTTGTCGTCGAAGTCATCGTCATCATCATCCTCAATGCGTTCTGGACGTGTAGCGGGAACTGGCGCTGACTCTCTGCTTCGCTCTCCTGCCTTAGACTTCTTGGCAGGCAGTGCGGGCTTCTGTAAAGCAAAAGTTAGACGGTGCAAAACTGACAGTTTGGCCTACATACCGCTGCGATCAAGTCGCCTAGACGCCTGCCTCTAGTAGGCTTTCTTGGCTTCTTCTTGAGCTCCCCAATGCTCTGGAGCGTGTGTATTGTCATAACGGCTCGGAGTGAGGGCGCGTATTTGGGTGAAGTGAATAGAGGGCCGGCTGCGGGATTCTCGAGAAGATGAAGGATTGGATGATCAGACAGTGGTGTAGGAAGGATGATAGGATCTGAGCGATTTGTGGCACATATCGTGAGCACGTGCACGGCAGGTGAAGGCAGACACGCGCCCCACTCTATCGACCCGCCCTAACCACCGACACATCTCCCTTTGACTTGCTCCATCGAACCTTCTCCAACTTCTTCTGGAATTGTCCAACACTCATCTTCGTTAAGTCCGCTATCATCAAACATCGCTGCGATGAATACTTTCCGCGAACAGATGGCAGGCGTCGAGTTCCACATCGCCACAGCCAGCAGCGAGCCAATGCATGGCGCTTTACAACTGCAACACTCCGCGATCAAGGAGCGTGAGTATCTGCCCGATCTAGGCAATCTGGGCTCCCAACCAATCGATAAAATACCACCACTACCCGACGCCGCGCTCACTAACGGGGATCGACTTTCCCAGACTCGATGGGTTAGCCGCATACCAGGCGATAGTCGCTGGCAAGAGAAAGAAGACGACGAAGGTTCAGACACCACCATGAGCTCAGAAGACGAGGAACAGGCCGCGGCGACGAAGCAGGATCGGTACATGGTCACAGTGGAAAACAAGCAGTACCTGCTGCACGATTACCTGGGCGACGAACGCGATGCCCTCATTGTACGTCGAATGCACCGTCCAATACTTTGAAAGCTTAGTACCTAACATCACACAGGCCGCTACACACAAGCTGAACGATCTGACATTCGAAGACCCTCCGCATTCGATTCGCAAGCGATACAATTGGCAGAAGACCGGCGTCGCAATGCAACGGAAGGCTCGAGAGACGGGTGGCGGATCCATGTGCATCGACGAGATGGGTAAGTAGTACATTCTCTTTTGCCTGGAACACAACTAATGCCTCTTCGCAGGTTTGGGGAAAACAATACAAGGATTAGACCTCATCATGTCCCAGCCGCGCTGTCCCAACGACACTTTCAACCTTGTCTTAACAGAAAAGGCCGTCATTATGAGCTGGATGAGGGAGGGGCCTAAGGCCTATGAACGAGCAAGTTATACCCTTTTACACCGTCTAAAAATCTGGTCCTAACTGTGTTCAGGGCTACATACCTCGACCATTCATTCTTGACGACCGCCGGGTCACCTTCGCCGACCTTTTCGAAGCGGACCACGACTATGTCCTCGCATCGTATTCAGCGGTAATGTGGCAGTTCAAGAGGTTGCAACTTTACAAGATGTATGTGCACGTGATGAAGTATTGCGGTAAGGAGACTGCCGACCAGGAAGCTGAAGAGAACGGCTGGCCAACACGACGTCCGGCGGCACCGCTTTACACGAGCCTATTGTATCTTCTTCCTCTGAGGATACAGACGAAAGTGCTCGATGAAGCGCAGAAACTGAAACGATGGGACGGGAAGCAGAGAGCGGCAGTACAAGCCATCATCACTACATACACGGACATTTTGACCGGGACGCCTTGCGGCAACGTATGGACGGACATCCTGTCGATGTGCGGGCTGCTGCCGCACGAACCGTTCCACACGAAACAGCAGTTTTTCAACGTCTTCGCACCAACATCGTCTAATGCACCGTCTAAAGCACCAAACGCGGTAGAATTCAACAACCTCATACGCTACCTCCTACCCTTTACCTTTTGGCGCACCATCGACCAGCTCGACTTAAAGGGAGTAAAGCACGAAGATCCAACGACCTTCAGGATAGCGGAGGGAAGATCCGAGCGGACTCTATGGCTCATCGAGAGCTTCGTTAGGCTCGCCAGGATGAGCAAGGAAGAACTGGCGGTCGACGAGAAGGATCTGCAGTCCGCCATGGGCTTTTGCACGAGGGCTGAGCAGGAGTCAGGCTTTCCTGTTCTTGCCGATTACACTGAGAAGCAGAAGGCGGCGATGCAAACAAGGCCCATGGATCTGAGAAACGCCCGCAATATGTTCGTCGAAGCTGTACGCGCCGCGAAGCTCAAAGCCATGGAACTTGAAGAAAAAGACACCAATGAGGCTAAATCTCTCCCAGGTTGGGCCGAAATTGACGAGACAGACACACAAAGCGCAAGGTTCTCTCAGAAAATGATAACCTGGCTCATGGAGACGGGCTTCGAGAAGCTGGCCCTGCTGGCGATGACAGGGTCCGGTTCAGCCAACAGCGAAGCCCACGATCAAGTGGACATGGCCGACGTAGCCGACGACGATGCAGCCGAGTTCATCGAGGAAATAGAAGAAGAGCAGGAGAAGAAAGAGGAGCAGGCCGAGATTGCACCGTGCACTCAGGAAAAGAAGACGGGCAAGACCAAGAAGAAGACGAAGCATCAGATGTTTCTCGATCGCGTGGCCAAGATGAGCGACCGCGATGTTTTTACGCCGCGATGCAACAAGCTCCTGGAGCTTTATGATTATATCTTGGTAAAGCACCCAGACGAAAAGATAATCATTTGGAGCCGGTTTTATAAGGCGCTCATCATCATCGCCGAAGCGTTCCGCCGACGTCACTCAGTCGATATCCCGGTATATTCCGGTGTCTTGAGCACAAAGGAGAGGGACGATCTCTTGCACAGGTGGCAGACGGTCTCGCATGCGACGACGCCCATCGGCTTCCAGGCCAAGGCTGGTGGAACCGGGCTTACTATCAACGAAGCGTCGCAGGTCATCTTCGTCGAGGTAAGTGGATTCCATACAATACTGATACTACGAATATGCTGACATGAACTTTACAGCCATGGTGGAACTCCCTCGATGCACTGCAAGCGGAGCGACGCGCCGTTCGGATCGGACAGGAAAAGCTTGTTCACGTCTGGGTGCTGACCTGTGCTAACAGCTTCTCGGACGCAATTATCAACACTGGTGCGCTGCGGAAGCTGAGGGTCATAGACAAGATCATGGCTGCGCTACGAACGGCAAAGGGAGCCGAGGTGGAGATTCCGCCGCACGTTCCGCAGTTTGGCATGGTACCGTATGTTCCCTACACGCGATTCAAGGAAATGGATGCGGAAGCGATGCGACAAGAAGAGGAGAAACAGGCGAGAGGAGCGACAGAAGAAGCCAAGGCTGAAGAGGGTGACGAGAGGCCTATCAAGAGGCTCAGGCTCCCAGAGGGCGCATACGCCGAAGATCATGGTGCGGTGGACCACGACGTCGATATGCATGAAGTGCACGGTGCATAAGCAGAGATCATCAGAATGACATCCTTCCCGACGAGCTCGCAGGGAAGAACCATGAAACCGGGTTGGATGATATCTTACCCTTCACTCAAGAGAGTACATAGCAATATATCCTCGAAACAGGAACAAGCAAGGACGAGCATTAGAACAGAGTTCGTTGAAGATGCGATCCATTCGATGTTCTGGTAATCTAGACATTGCTCTGAGCATGGGATGGGCTAATTGTACAAGAAGAAGGGCAATTCGTCAAATGAATGATGATCCATTTCCGTCTCGTGACCTCTAGTATCCGGGGCAGATGTGCTTCTCGAACTCGTCTGGCGTGATGAAAACATGGCTGCACCCATGACATACTACAGCTCCAAGTACGCCCTCGAACGTCAGAGTACCCAGATGGCTCGCCAAATGCTTCTTGATGGTAGTGATACCGTAATTATTGCCTGTCCGTAACTCAGAACCGCATCTTGAACATGCCAACGCATTGGCGATCGGATCCAAGTCAACTGTGCCGTCTACCCAGGACAGAAACCACTTCATGTCGGATTCGAAGCCCCATAGGTTCACCCAGTAGCGCGTCTCTTCCACGTCGAGCCCTGTACAGAAGATTAGACCGTGCAATGAGAGGGGTGTAAGAGTGTCAAACGACTCACATTGCATTGAGCCTGACCGGTTCGTTTTGTCTGGACCGGCTCGGCTAACGATAGATTCTCGCAACCCCCTCCACATCGCACTCGCGGAGGTTGCATCGAGACCCAGTTTGAGTCTTATAAGTCCCGATACTGTAACTCTCTTGAACCTCAAGTCAGCCTTCATGTCCGTGCCTCGTACAACCATGTTGACGGAGCTACCGGCAGTCCACACGAGACCACTGGACGGCATCGGAAGCGCTTCTAGGTCTTCTGGCTGTGTCATCTGATCGTCCGTGTCGCTATCGCTATGGATGACAGGACGGTGGCGGTGTTTAGACCGGCTGCTTGCTGGCATAGGAGAAACGCTAGAGGTTGAAGTGGGTCGCACTGACGGGAAGCTGACAGCTGGGATGCCTTCAGCAACCGGTTCCACAGACTGAGAGCTAGAAGTCGTAGGCGGAACACTGGCATCGTCAACTGCAGTGAGTCGGTGAGCAGGGTCGACTCTAGTAGCGTTGCGTTTGATAGTCATGGAGCGGGTTTCTGGCGCATGTGTGTTGGGCATTGTTGTAGTTGCTGACGGAGCGGTATGCAACGGTTTTTTGACCACCGGAGATGACATATATTCCTTGGCTGTGTAGTAGGCGGCGTCGGAGGACAAATCGTTGCACGGTGCAACAGGGCGCTCACTTCGCTTCTTCGTACTCTGAGTGACAGAACGTGGGACAAAGGCTTCCTCTAGGTTAGCCATGGCATGTATATAGGAAGTTGTACAGTCTGCTTACTGGTGGCACTAGAGAAGAATTCCCTGATGCTTCGGTTATCTTTCGGCGGAGCCTTTGAGAGTGTCTTGGGAGTCTGGGCTGTGTTCTTGGTCTTCTGCTTCTTCGTAGTCTCGACTGGCTCCATTGTAGTTCGCTTCTTGGATGGAGCGGTAGTAGGTGACATGATAGGTTCTGCATCCTCGATGTCAGCTACATCGGGAAAGCCTCCGTAGTCACTGGACAGGTTATGACCGCGGGCCTGCGCTGTTTCCGCGGTGGGGGTGATAGGCTTGGGCGTTGATTGAATGACTGGCTCCTTCATCAGTGATACGGGGGGATCATCGTCAGTAGTGCCAGGGCCGCCGCCGGGTGGTTTGATCAGATGGATGCGACCTTCTCTCCACAAGGACTGGGCCAGTTGCCGGCACGCGTCTCGCTTCATCTTGTAGACGGGCAAGAGAGTATGCTCCACCGAAAGCCAGGTGAACGTTGGCTGGCGCGCGAAGGCGAGGTTGTTGAAAAGGGTTTTGAGGTGCCCTGCTGCCGAGCTGAGGTCGTCATACGAGGCTCTCAGTTGGGAGGTGGGCAGAGCGACTTGCATTGCGCGAGCCTGTACGGCAAACGCATCTTTTTGCAAACATTAGACGGTGCATCTTTTAGCACTGGAAGAAGGGTCACTTACTCGCTGGTGGCCGAGCAGGGGTCGTCATGCTGCTGAGGGTCGAGTACTACGCTATATGAATGGCTGGGTCTCGCGCGCCGGGAATGTAGGTGTTGAGAATGCGCGAGTTAACAGAGGTGGAGGAGGCCAGAAGTTTGGATAACGAAGCTGCCTGGGTTGGCGTGTACGTGGAAGCTGCGAGTTGCAGGTAGCAGGTGCCCTCACACTCACGCTGGGAGGATGACGTTGCGCTTGCTCAGACGTGTCAGCTCTTGCATGAGATGAAGCGGCAGGACTGAAAAGAATCGCCCGACTCAGTATGCGTCTCGTCCCATTTGGCATTTGAGTTGGGTGAGATGCAGCCCTTTCATGTCAAAAGGCAAAGCAAAGATGTCGGAGGATAGCAAAAGGCTACTCCAATTCTGCGAATCTAGGAAGCTTCCGATGTAGGATACCGGGATCTCCCGTGTGGCCTGATGTTGTTACCGGGTGTCGTCATACTAGGCGAGGAGGGAATGCTCCGCCAAGCATCGCACTTTCACACCTGTCAGCTACGTCACCAACGCTTCTCGCAGCCCTGAACCACGCACCCACTCGTCTTTGACTCCGTTCGAGCATCAGCCATGCCAAAAGCCACGACAGCCAAGTCCGCGCGTGCGTACGTTCACCCGCTCGCAGCACTCGTCTTGAACAGCCACCTCAAAGACCACACGTTTACCAGAGTTCGCGATTACCTGAGACTCTATGCGGCAGAATGTAGCCAACTAAACTCCAAGGCGCTGCGCTCCAAAACCAAGTTCGTGTTGGGGGAGATTGAGCGAGAGCGCACGAGGCACCAGACCGATGAGCCTTCCCACTCCACGGACGATGCATCGACCGCGCCAACCTCACCCTTGCCCGTTGACTTCATACAACCCGTACAAGAAGATGGGGAGCAGCAAGGTGGCGCGGATCTCTACCGGGAGCTAGATGGGAAACCGTTCCTCACGTTGAGGCCAGTGAGCTATAGGAATGTGCCGGTCGTACGTATTGCACGGTGCATTCGTTGTGACTTCTGCTGATTCGCGTCAGTGCCCGATGAACTGGCTCCACCCGATCCCATTCCTCTGGTCATCCGTCCCCTCCTCGGAATGGCCGAAGCTCTTGGGCCGCAACGCTGACGATCTTCACCCTGGAGAAGCCCCCCGAGGTGCATTTTACGGAAAACCATCGCTGCCGTTCGATCACTACTCTCCATCCGCATACAACACCCGCAATTCCGACTTCATCGCCTACGAACGGACCGAGACTGTTGTTGAGGTGTCGCGGCAGATATACCCTTTGAACTCGCATTTGTCAAGAGCCAGAAGAGACACTAAATCCAGTGGCGCTAGGCAACCCAAGAGAATCATGAGGGATACGACTGCCCACGGCAAGCTGTGCAAGAACGCGTCTGTTGCAGTCATCGCTCGCGCTATCCTCGCCACTGGACGCTTTGCCTGCGTTCTTCCGGTCATACTTACACCTGATGACACAGGCGAGGATATCCCCCCCCATTACGGTCTCTTCATTGCCAATCACTCGAAAGAAATGACAATATTACCTCTCAATTTATGGTTCTTGGGCGCAGACGTTACCTCGCACGCGAGAAAGAATGTCTCGAAAGTACCCTGGCGTCCTGAAGACCCGCGCAGCAACAACGTGTACGAAAAGTTTAAAGCTGGACCGATTCTGCGTTGTGTAGATGCGACTTTGGCTCGTAAGTGATGTGTGTGTCTATCGTTCTATTGCATGGCTAACTTTCTACAAGATGACAGAGCTAGAGTAAGAAAAGGAAAGTGGGAGCCACGTCAACTGTCTACCGTATGGGAAATAGCATCATCATTATCGGCAGTACGAAGCACAGTGACATCCCGCCCGACGCTCAATCGCCAGTCATTCGACCGGGGAGCTTGGTGCTGGTACAGCAACATCAAGCTTCTAGCCGATAGGATCGCCGGCACCACCAAACAAGTGCATTTCCACAGCGCCGCACCATTGCAACCTTTCACCATTGTCCTGCCCAGCGACTTCGACTTCCTTGATGTGGACTTCGACGTGGACCGTCCCACGCGGAGCTCCTTTGAGAACGGAACGTTGCTGACAAATGTCGAGTTCGAAGACATTATCGCCGATGTCTCTGAGAAAGACGCGGCGAAGACGAAGGATCCAGGCAATGCCTATCGAGTCGACGGGAAATTGTCCTGTGTGTTTCACATCGGATGCACCGTGCATCCAGTGGAGGGTTCCCTCTACTGCCTTTGGCACCATCGCATAGTCGCGGCACAGCGTCCAGATACCTTTATAACAGACCCAGACTCGATGCCAGTCTCGATATTTGCAGGTACCCATCTTCGGCAAGCTACTGTAGCTCTCAGCCAGCCAACCAATACTCGGTGGTGGACCGAACTCCGGGAGCTGCACACTATGGCCAAGCGTTTTATCGTATGGATCGTCGACGTCGAGTTCTACGTTATTAGCGGCCACAACGTCGTCCCGTGGGAACTTGTGATCCGGGATGGTTCTACGGGAAAGATTGTACTATCGACTCTTGTCGACTACGGCATGGGCATTCAGGATGTCATGGACGAGTTGGACAAATACAATACCCCAAGAGCGGCTCAAATCCCTGATAAGTGGCGCCCGACCTACAGAAGTGTTAGTGGTAACTATCGCGGATCACGAACTACAGGATTACAGTTAGCGTCCATTGGAGATGCCTTGAGAAAGGCGGGTTTTCACACGGACACTCACAGGGTTATTTCATGGTGGTCTTCCAATGACATGCAAGTCTTCTCCCGCGCGATCCGTGGAGACAGCAAGTTGGTCAGCCCACGCCACCAGAATCAGACCTTTCTTCAGCTCTGCGACAGTCTGGGTCGACCTTCACTACAACCTATCCACTTCGGATATCTGATCAAGCACTGCACCGATTTGGGCAATCTTTCCCTGGGATACGTACACAGAAGTTTGTTTGACAAGAATCTCGAGATGCATGACGCAGGAAACGACACCTTGGCCATGTACGACATCTACCAGTGGTTCCTCACCAACACAAGAGACTGGTAGAGACGGGTACCGAATGACCGAAAAGAGATGTGCGCACATAGGAATAGGAACAAAATGCACCGTTCATTGTCTTCTAATCTCTTCCTCACCCCAGGCAGTGTGACTGTAGGCAATGAAAAAAATATCAAGTCTTCGCAAAGAAATGCAAAGATGGGAAAAATGCCCTCACGAGCGAAGTAATCTACGAGTTCACATGCCTTTTCGGCTAGCTCATACGAGCAAGCTCTTTCGAGCGTTGACCCTTTGCAAGGTGAAGAACAAGAAATGGGGAATGGCTTGCATTTATGCCACCGAACTAGCTGAGCCTATTGCGTCATGCTGACAAGTACTGTCGTCAGCCAAGCCTTTCCACGGTGCAAAGAAGCCGAAATGTCAGGTGCAGTTCATCATCGCTACCAAAAGTACTCAACTGCGGCAACGACGCCTCAATCATCTTGCATCTCGGCATCTGTATCCTCTTCGTCAACGGGTCCGTCGCCCGCGGCAGCTTTGAGATCCTTGACCGCCTTCTTACACATGTTGATGTAGATCTCGAGGTTCTTGGTCGTGACGTTGTACTTCGCAATCACCTCCTTGGCGAAGAACCGGCTGGCCTGCAAGGCGAAGAACTTGGCTCCGTCGGTATCAGGGGAGTTGCCGGCAGCCTCCCAGAGGTCATCCAAGTTGTCGGGAGACGCGGCCGTACCGTGGTAATCGACGATACCTGTCAGAGAGTCGTTGTGTGCGTCCACAATGCGCTGCAGCAGCCGAATGTGGTCGCTCAACCAGAGCTCCAGGTTTGTGTCCACCTTTGTGCATTTCGGAGGCGGTCCCTGGGCTTCTTCGTGGAAGAAAGGGCGCATCAGCGCAATCTCTTTGCTGATCGCAGAGTTGGTAGTTGTATCAAGTGTCTTGCTGTGTTGTATAATATACTGCAGAAAGAGGTACGCCCCCAAGCCTGTGCGGATGTCGCCGTAAGTTACGCGGGTTTCCGTATCCCGGAGATAATTTGCGTATTTGGAGACGTTCTCGGGTGTCAATGTGCCGGTCTTCACTAGGCCAGGAAACATGTCCTGTGAATGTTAGCAATGTTTACACCGTGCATTACGGTTGAAACGTACCGTGAGCCAGCGGTGTGCCTCTTTGGCGTCTTCTTTCTCGAACTTGTGATGCAGGTTCATCAGACGATACATTGCGATAAGTTGGGGGATGTCAGCGTCCTTGAAGTCCTCCTCAGACTTCAGAAGCGCTCTTTCCATCTCATCTAGAAGCCAAGAGGCGCCCGTGACCGCGTACTGAGAAGACATGGACTGAATGTCTAGGGCCTGGCTGATCTCGGGAGGGAACTGAACCCGTGCGGTTGACTTGGCAGGGCGGAAGCCACCTTGATCCATGGAAGCTTGAAGTGTCTCGGCCAAGTAGTTCTTGATCTCGTTTGGCCACTCCTTGATTCTCTTTCCGATTTGACCCTGGTCATCGTCGCGGTAAGGCTGGAAGAAGAAGACGTCTTCCGCGGTAACAGGGATAGCTTGACATAACTATCGAGAATGAGTATATTCGAGCCTTTTACACCGTGCAATGTTTCAAGCTTACCTTACTCTGCGGATTGCGGTTGACCAATTCATAGTAAAGGATTTTGCCGGCCTGGAGGCTGCTGAACTTGACCTTGGGTCTTAGGGTTAGTCATGTTTCTCACGTGAGCCACAGTGTACTTACGACAACTTTGGTCATGAATTCCTCATGTGGCCAGACCGGGAGAACGTCGAGCGCCACCACCGAGTTCACTGAAGCTTTGAATGGCTTGTCGATCTTCTTGAGGACATCCAGGGCGGCCTGGGTGACGGGATCATCGCCGACAGAAGCTGATTTCTGCTGTCTGAGCACAGCGGCCCGATGTGGACGCACGCCGACCCAAAGGCCGGTGCACGTCACGTTGTCGACATTTGTCTTTGTCTCCTCTGGAGTGACAGTGAGGGTGTTCTCGGCAATTCGCTCGCCCGAATACGCGGTGCTACTAAATTTCTCGACACGCTGCAGAGGTAAAAGTAAGAAGTCAGCGAATATGTCACATATACACTTCGTACACAGCCAGGGCTTACAAGGAGTTGGTGGTCGGGTTTGTCTGGGGCCTTGATGCCGACCAGACTGTACGAAAATGCCAGCTTGCTCTGGTGGCTGTTCTGCTGCTGTGGTTCCGCCATTTCTGCGAGTGTTGCGCGAGTAGGATGTGGAGAGAAGATACTGGGGCGCAGTGTCGGGTTCTACGTACCTAGGTAATTTTAGCGCGCCTCTAGCGCCGTCCTCACCTTCACTTCGTATACTGAGCCACGAAGCTGCATCCTCCACTTGCACTACTACCACAAGTAGTTACCGTCACCCACCATGCCCCCGAAGGCTAGACGCAAGGCGAAAGCGTCGGCGAAGCCGGTGGATCCAGTGATTAAAGACGCCACTGTCGCTGTCAAGAAGGCAAGAACCGCTCAGCAATGTCTGGCAGAGATGGACGAAGACGACCCCAAGGCGGAAGAAGAGTCGGAAAAGGCCTCTGAGGCACTGATCGAAGCTGTGCGCCAGTTCACCACCGTCACCGACCGCAACATGACAATGTCCGTCGCCAGGAAAGTCCGCACTATTCGCCGTGTCCCCGTACACGATGCGCAAATGGTCAAGCTACGGCTATTAGTCTCAATTCAACAGGCGCGCATCCCACAAGCCCAGGAAGCCACAAGTGCACCGTGCACAGAGGGCGATGTACATGATTCGGCCAACGCTGTCGCGGACCTCAGCAGTGCGATGTTGGGCCTGCAAGTCTCCAAGGCCTGGGCGCCGTCCACCGAGCATAACGAAGAAGCGCAGAACAAGCGTAACTACCCATTCAAGTCATCTCCTCAGGCTCTTGCTAACTCCACTCCAGGCATGGCGTACCCGATGAACCTCTCAAGGAACGAGAACGAGCTCGACGACGACAAATTCACTCCATACGTTGAGGGTACCAAGATCCACGAACACGTTCTCGACGACGGAACATTCCTCTACATCGACTCTAAGACCGGCCAGCAGGTCAAGGACCAACACGGCACCCCTCTCGATCTTCCCAAGCAGGCCACTGGAGCCGGTGACGAGACTGCGGCTGATGTAGGCGATGAAGAAGGCGAGAAGGATGGCAATGGAGAAGGCGAGGAGGATGACATTGGTGACGACTTCCAGGCCGCAGACAACGAAGACGCGCCCTCAGGATCAGGAACAGCCGGTACCGTGGGTCCTGTCTTGAACGCCAAGCCCCCGGCAACAAAGGCAGAGACGCAGGAGTTCTTGGAGATGGGAGTCTGTGGCGATTGCAGCGGCGTGACTCCTACTGATGAGCTTTATCAACACTGGAGGACGGAAACCATTAGTGCTGTCGTGCAATGCAAGGACTGTCGGAAGGCAGAAGACGAGCGCACCAACACTAAAATCTGCCATCGTTGTCTGTACCGGTGGATTCCGAGATTCTACGTTGATCCGTCGCAACCAGGCCTTTGCAACCTGTGCACCGGGCATGACCCTAACCCTTACTAGTAGCTCGGAAGACACGTAGGATGATATGATCAATACACTTGTAATGCACCGTCCATTGTTCGTTTCTTCCGTGCGATGTGAGAATAACGTGTCTGCGTTCCCCGATCCGCAAGACCCATGATAGCGCAATGACACACGGCAGCGAGCGATTCACGGCTCTGGCAGCTCACTCCAATCGCGGCTGGAGAGAGTCTATGCATCTAAGATTGTTCGTCACAGCATGACTAATTCTTCACAGGATACCATATCGATAGGAAGCAAAAGTGAAGGTCAAGGCAGATGGTTGTGGCAGCCACTAGCGGAGACGCTAGAGTGTATACAGAAACGTCCACCCCGACCCAAACTTCCTTCCTCTTTCTCCACAACACACGAAACCCCACACGCGAGAAAACATGGCGTCGCACCCGAACCATCAGCGCAGGCATGGCTCTAGGTACGTATTGTATGCTTTCCAATCACTAGCCAAGAGCTGACATGGTATCAGTACTCTCCCGCTCGATGTTGACGGCTTGGTCAGCCGCTTTGGCATCGCTGCACAGATCTGGATGTTCGGCGAGATCACTAGGGCCGTCAAAAAGGCAAAAGTAGATCCAGAAACTCCGGGTGTGACCGTCTCGCAAGTCATCGCCATCCACCGCCTTCTGGAATCCGAAGCCCCATTCGAAGACGCCGACGCCCGAGAGGCTCACCTCTGGATGACGGTACGCTCACTTCGTCAGTTATAGACGGTGCATTGTTTGCTAATTCGCGCAGAATGCGTTCCCAGAATTAATGGATACCGGCACTCTCACCCTGGAAAACTTACTCAAGTACGCAGCCGACTTGCGGGGCCGCGGGATGCACGGGACCTGCCTGCATTACGACAATCTCAGGAAAGACCTGGGCGATTACCTGTTGGAACACGCGCTCTATCCGGAAGACGAGTCAATTGATAGCAACCCCGGCGGCACGCAAGCAGAGCGGAGGGAGTGGTTGCGTCAATTCTTGGACGAGGAGGATGAGTCAAAGTGGCCAAGTATCAGGAACGAGCCCAAAGACCATCGAGCATGGCTCAGGAACCATCTCGCGTTGGTAGACTTCATGGTCGATATGCACGGCAACTTACCGATGGTAGTCATGCAACGCTATGGCGCTGCCGTCTATGACGCCAATATGGATCAACTACGGGGGAACATCGAGCCTGCCAAACAGTTGATTATCGAAGCGGTTGAGTATGCAGTCAGAGAGATTGTCGCTGAGTGTGACGGTGTAGTCGCAAGGATGGAGCCGTACATGGAAGTGCTGAAGGCGGCTATCAAGGACCTTATGAAGTATTAGATGATTGTTTCGAGGTACTAGGATGGAAGGGTTTCAGCTCGAGCTGCAAGCACGGCATTCGGGCAGACCTTGATGGGCCACGGCGTCGGTAGTTAGACCAACAATGCACGGTGTATTTACCTTGCCGCCACTTAGTGCTGGAAACGGTTTCGACGTGGACATACTGGTGCTCGTGGTGCGGAGTCGGTCCGGCTGGAATAGCAGTGATTGATAAGCTGGAGGCGGGGTGACACGTGGGATCTGTGACGTAGTAAGCGACCGAGCCGCTAGTGGGCATTTCGAGATTAGCGTTGATCTTCGCGCGGAGGATTCGCGACTTCACGATACTGCTGGAAAGGTTCATCAGTAACATTGGACGGTGATTCGAGGACCATCGCGATGAGCAACTACCTCCTTTCAAACGAGATCGCAGAGGAGCATTATGACACGGAGATTGACGATGGCATGAGGGCTATCTAATCCGAAAAGATACTTGACAACTTGACGGTTGCATGCGACAGAGCACAGCTATTTATGCCGTTGATTCTCTACGATACTACCAGAAAGCACGTGGTATACTCATATGGCCCAGAGCGAAGCATGCACGTGGAAATTTTGCGCGACTGCTGGGAATTGCATCTCGCAAGGAACCCATACTTCATGCTGGCGGCTACAATCCCACGGACGTTGATGAAACTACCAACATCAGGCCTTTGGAAGTCGACAAAGTGGTCAGCGTCCTTGTAAAGGTGTTATCAAGGTAGCTATTGCGACTCTTAAGCTCTCTGCTTTATGGTAATCGACGAAGATCCGTGCCTTACGCTGCTTACAGTAACGACAACGTCTCCAGACCTGATGCCGGAACGTATCACTGCTAAGGCTCGCCCTCGCCATGTTCTATGAACATTGCCCTTAAAGTCATGCAGATTCTTATAGTACGCAGACCCAAGCGCTGCCAGAGTGGCATCTCCATGTACCTCGACGGTAAGGGTATCGTCGTCATTCATCTCGATGTTTCCCTCCTGATCAGCGAGTTGAAGTTCCAGGTACGCTAGGTCTTGTCTGTCTGCGACAAGTTCACCGGACTTCTCGTTGACAATCCTAACTGAAGCAACGTCAGCGGAGCGGAGCGTGGAGCGCGAACGCTCCTGTCCGCCAGAGTATGCAACAGCAAGAAGTTCGCCAGGCTCGTAAGCTGTCGAAAACCTAGCGGTGTATCTGTTGGCTTGGTTGCTACTTGCGCGCCCAAGCGAGCGGCCATTCAGGAAAAGTTCTGTTTCCTCTTCTTGAGTGATGACCTCAATGTAAGCCTTCTGGCCCTCACAACCCTTCCAGCCCCAGCCCTCGATCGCATCGGAATCTCGCCAGGGCGTCGCCTTGTAATACAAGTTAGAGACGTCCAATGGACGTACCGCAATTACGGGTTGAGACAGGAGTTTCCAGCACGCTTGGGCTACGAAAGCCGAAGCATTGGGCACGCCAGTGATGTCTAAAGCGCCGCAACCCCCTACTAGATGTGGCCAAGGCTTGTACAATTTTATAGGGGTAAACCTGCTTGCCTCATAGTCGTGCACACCAATGCCTACCTCGCCAAGGTAGTCCCATCCAGTCCACATGAAGTCTCCTATTAGGTTCGGAATCTTTTCAACGTTGGACCAGTTCCTAGGAAGATCAGGTGGACAGGTTTCGGTACCGAGCATCATCCTTGAAGGGTGTAATTTGGCATCTGATTGGTACCGGATATCTCCATAATTGTAGCCCGCAACATCCATGTACGAATAGAGTCTGCTGGTCACAACATTGGTGTGATTGAACTTTGGGAAGTACCGCATGAATGAGAGGAACATGCTGGCGATGATGTTGAAGAAAGTGCTAGAGGCCAAATCCCCCAGACCGCCTTTGTTATCTGCAGGAGGAGTATTTGGATCCCCCGGCGGGATTTTTGAAAACATCATCAGGGCCAGCGTAAGATTGAGCGCGATAGTGTTAGGTCGGGATGGATCCAGCTTGTGCGTGAGGTCCAGGAGCTTCTTCGCGATCGTGTGTCCGTAGGCGGATTTTGGCTCAGTGATCTCGTTACCCAATGAGTACATAACAACTGAAGGGTGGTTACGAGCTCGTTCCACAAGAGAAGCAACTTCGTACTCCCAGCGTTCGTTGAAGGTGTTGGAATCGTCATATTTAGACTTTGCCTGGTACCAGTAGTCGGCAAACTCATCCATGACGTACATGCCTACCTCATCACATGCTTGTAGAAGGACTTCTGAGCATGGATGGTGCGACATACGAATAGCGTTGAAGCCATTCTTCTTCATGATCGACACGCGCCGCAGTTCCGCAGCTTTGAACGATGCTGCGCCGAGGATACCGTTGTCTGCGTGTATGCAACCACCACGCAACTTCACAGTCTGGCCATTGACCAGGAATCCATGACCAGGCTTCAACTGCAGAGTGCGCAGACCGTACTTGAACTTATAGAGATCGCCGTTGATGACGACAGTGCAGTCGTAGAGATTCGGAGTCTCAGCGGACCATAGATCTGGGTTCGATAACTCGAAGTTTTGTCTCAGCTCAGACGTTGTCGTTTTTGTTGTCCACTGGATCGCGTTCCTTCCTCCTCTCGAAAGCTCGAAAGATACTTCAACGTCATCCTTCTTTTCGTTGTTGAGTAAGACCTCGAATGTGAGAAGAGCAACTCCACTGGCGGAGAGCGTTGCCAGCCTGATCCCGTCCTTGCAAAGCAGATTGTGGTTCCGAACCATGAGATGAACGCTGCGATGAATCCCGGCTCCAGTGTACCAGCGCGCGTTAGGTTGTTCACTGTTGTCGGCATGTACTTCGATGGTGTTCCTCTCGCCGAGCTTCAGGTAAGAGTCTACGCGAACCTCAAACTTGGTCCAGCCCGCCAGACAACCGCCGACTTCTGTGCCGTTCACCAGCACGCGACTGTGCCGGTAAACACCATCAAAGCTCAAAGCGACCACTTTGGACTCCAGAGTAGTAGGCGCTTGCCATGTTTTGCGATACTTGTACATTCCGCCAAGATAAAATCCGCCATGAGTTCCAGCGAGGGCGTCCTCCCGCCGCCCTTCTACCTGCATAGCATCGTGGGGAAGGTGTACTTTGCTCCAGCCAGTTTGCCCAGAGCGTTGGAACTCCCAATCTTCGTTGAAAAGTGTCGCTACTTCGGCCATTTTTTGCATCTGCTATGCACTGGAAGTTGAACCAAGGGCATGAAAATTAAAGGTAGGGGCTTAACTTTCTAACACGGGGTCAGCAAAGTTCTTGTAGCGTCAAGCGTACCAAAAACGTACACGGCCCTCCTCGGTGCAATAGTCTGCATCTTGGAAGATGCTTGCGCACAGGTACGTATATCCACCAATGATTTGGTGTTACATAGAAGTTTCCAGCCTTGTAGCCCTGACATTATTGTGCAGAGAATCCATTAGCGCTTACGTCGAAAGTCGGATGCACAGAGGCCGGGTCCGGACGCCTTCTGTAGCTTCGGATGCACAAGGTCCCGAGTCCGGACGCCTTCGCGACTCACAAGCTACCCAGCGCGTGCGCCTATCATGCACTTAGTTAACAACTCCAAGCAAGCGCCTATCGTGTCGCGGCTTTTATGCCGACTCTTTGCAGCTAGCAAAAAATTGTCATATCGCGTAGGCCCAGGCGAAGGAAGGAACCAGATTGCAGCCATTGTGGTGACGCAGAAGCGCCTGCGTATTACAGCACTAATGACGGCTCAACGTCGATACTCATGAGGCTGCAGATGTCGTTGTGGTGGAGAAGCCGTGGCCCCCCTCTACTGCTATGCCTGCCACTGTATGGACTGCCAAAAACAAACCGGCAGCGCCTTCTACCTGAGCCTCAACATCGAACTCTACAACATCCAAATCCTGTCTCCTACGAAGCCTTTGTTTCTCCGTCGAAAGATCAAGCCAGGCCTGGTCGACCGCTATGCCGAGTGTCCGCAATGCCACGTTCAGCTTTGGGCTAGCAATCACCTCGGTGATGCGGTCGCGGAACTGAGAGTTGGTACACTGGACTTTCCGTCCCTCATGGAGCCTGATATACACATCCACGTGGAGAGTAAGCTGGACTGAGTGAATTTGCCGGAGGGCGCGAAGACGGCGCAAAGAGGACATGATTACCAGACCTCGTGGCCCAAGAGCAGTCTCAAGAGGTTGGATGCTTGCTTGAAGCGAGCGGAGGAAGTTAAGAAGAGGAGGGCTGCTGCGATGAAGGAGGGTGCCCATGGCGCGAGTGGAGATGAGGAGCACACAGAGGTAGCTGTAGCGGTGGAGGGAAGTGGAGAGGGTGACAAGACGCCTACCGCGGGTGATGTTGGGGGCGACGATGATGATGAGGTTGACGAGCAGAGGTTCAGAGATACTGAGAAGGCGTTGCTGGAGCGGTTGGAGCGGTTGAGTCTCAAGCTGCAGAATGAGGAAGACACGAAGAAGATCGTGGAGACGTGTCTTGGGGACTCGAAGAAGACCTCATAACATAATGCAGAAGATCGTGAGAGCTTTGAATAAGGTGCGCGGTCTACGCTCTTTCTAGAATGGCTCAAACCCGAATGACATGTGTACTGTGTCATCTTTGTAGGCCTGGATGAAAGGCTCCAATATCGAGATGGGTGCGCATACCATGTACGCGGCCAGTGAACTGTCGTACACCATATCCGCGCACAATCTTCTTTTCGCATCTATCCCACTCTACTGCGTCTCCATCATGGCGTTTGCGATCTTATGTTTTTTTTTCCTCGCTTCTCACTACACTCACTTGCGCGTTGACCGACGTCTATCAGGCAGGACTCCAGAATTCACCCGAAAAGGAGACGAGGATAGCTATTATCGGTGCAGAATCTAGCAGCGCTAGCACAGCGTACCACTTACGCGAAGATACCCCCCGGACCTTCCGCTCTCGATCACGATCTTCGGATCTAGCGAAAGCATCGGCGGACGAGTCGCTTCATTCTCAGTGACGGATACCAAGAACAGAACCATTCTCGAAACAGGCACTACCAGCTTCTTCACGGGTGATGAATGTGTCATGCAAAGCGTTGAGAAGCTGAGCATGACTCCCATAGACAAGGAGAGTTGCCGGTGGCTCCTCGGATGTCTCCACAACCCATTGTAAAGGACGGGCATCTGGGACGGCAAGGGAATCACCGACAAGCCATTACTTGCATTGCGACTGAGCGAATGGTTGGACAAGCACGGTCTGCTTTTGCTTGCGAAACCAGTTGTATGGTCCAATAACATGTCCGTGTGGGATACCATGCGTTTCCTCCACTGGAACAATTTGAAGTTGGATACTGGGCGGCAGGCCTTGTGCGACTTCGAGTCATCGTCAATTTGTGGATGAATACACATGCTTTACAGATACGGCAGCTCACCCGTAATTTTCTGGCGAGCGACATACACTACTAGCAAGAAATTGCTTCATGTGGGACGTTGGGGCCGATTCGCCAATCTTGCCAATGAGTCGAAAAGGGTGGAATCGGACGAAGGTACCCTTACAATGTCTGCTGCAGTCTATCTTAAAGGTCTGGGTATCAGCGATCGGTTCCAGTACGAGGTCATCGAGCCATGTGTACGCGCGCGCTTCTCTCTCAACCTAAAGCAGGTCTTTGCTATTGACGCAATTGTGGCTTGCAGAGAGTTTAAGGAAGGATCAATGAGGGGTGGAAACTTTCAACGTGTAGGCGCAATGATCCACGCCTCACTAGCGGACGTGCAACTGCGAAGCGAGATAGTTGGCATCGAACATGGTCAAGATCGACGCTGCAAACTCTCCATCGCGGGTGCATCAGACTGTACATTACATGAGACCGGAGAGTTTGAAGCTACTAAAAGCTGGACTCGCTGCCAAAGAACCTTTCGTCGCCAGCAAGCCGTACCTCAACACACGTTACCTACCGAGCATGCCTTCAAGCCGGAATATATAAACTTGTCCGTTGACTCCGACACCCCAGATCACCTCCTAACCACATCCGCGGAGTTTAAACTGATTTCGCTGTCCATGTGGGACAGCATGGGTTTCTACGGGGAAGACCGACTTCGGCGCTAGAAGCTCTGGATTGAAGGGCCTAATCTGTACGACAGCGATGAATGCGGGAATGCTAAATATGGATTAGAGAATCTATATCGTGTAGTGTCTCGAGAGTATGTCTCAGACGGCGAAGTTGCTGCGATGACTGGAAAGGACTGGGAGAAGAGACAGACTGTGACAGATATTGGGTTCAGCTGGGTGCATCGACAAGAATGGAGCAGAGCGTTCCCGAAGCTCGATAACAAGAGGGGTTCACTAGGCGATATCCAGTTAGCTAAGGGTGTTTTCTGGCTTGGTGGTGGAGACGAAGTTACGTCGTCACTTGAGATGAGTTGTAAGATGGGAAGGAATGTTGCATCCCTGATACGAGACTGGGCAGCAATAATAAGTGCTAGCTATGGCGAACTGTAGTTCACAAGTAGACATCATGAATATATCGAGTCGGAGGCCCTACAATTGTAAGTCTACGGGATGATGTTCCTCCTTACATCTTCATCCTCACGACTTGCGCTGTAGTCCAGAGTACTGGATTTATCAGGCTAGTTTGGGCATAGAATGTTGCAGCACTCCATCGCCCTGATCTTATGGCAGCGCAGTGAACTTGCGGATTGAAGTGTTGGGTCAAGGCACTCCGTCCGGTCTGCTGATGAGCTCCAATGGTGTACTCGGAGCAAGACATGATCGTCCTTGGGTGGTGATCGAACACCGTAGAGTGCGTAGCTGAAGGCATAATCGCGCTGATGGTCGAGAGCAAGACGTGATCGTCCTTGGGTGGTGATCGAACACCGTAGAGGGTGTAGCTGAAGGCATAATCGCGCCGGTAGTCGATATCTGAAGCCATGTTCTCGCGCAGGTACTTACAAGCGCTAGGGGAGGAAGACGGAGAGAAAGTGGATCCACAGCGGTAGCCGATCGATGAGGTCAAAGTACGTTAATTTGTCGGCACCCTTGTTGTATTTGACAACCACCCTCGTCATGCCAGCCTCTACCGGCCAGATTGGAAGAGTGCTCAAGTCTGAGAGAGAGTCGACTGATCTGGGTCTCTTGTTCTTAGTCTTCTTGATCCTGTCTTTGATCTCGTCAAGGGCTGACTGTGTCTCGGTGTCGTCGCCGACGGGCTCGGGATTGTGTTGGCGTAGGACACCACCTCTAGCTGGTCGAAGCCCGACCTCGAGACCCAGATCTTCCTCGTGGTCAGCAGAGGTAATGTGTTCGCGGCAGTGCCGACTTTGCGTTCTGTCCGGTCTGCTGATGAGCTCCAATGCTGTACTCGGAGCAAGACATGATCGTCCTTGGGTGATCGAACACCGTAGAGTGCGTAGCTGATCTCGCGCAAGTGCTTGCGGGGGGTAGTAGATAGGGTATCTGCTATGTACTCAACGTACCTTATACGCCTATGAATGCACTGCATAGCACCGGTTACAATTTACCTCGAGATTCTTGCTTCTCTATCCTCACGACTTCCGCTGTAGGCGGCAAAGACAGGGAAACTAGGATTTATTGAGAACATAGGATGAGAGCGCTTCATTAACTGACTCCCAAGTTGCGTCGGGAAATCGGTAAGTGAAGGAATGTGGGGGCCAACAGTTATAATCCGCACGGCCTCTAATGAAGAAAGTGCACGCCTTTGATTCAGACTAGGGCACGGCCTTGCTCTGCGATATATACCCAAAAATCCCTGCCCCGGTTCATAAGTCATTCCACAACGCCTGTCGCAGCCTACCCCAACACCAGATCGAGAAAATGCAGCACTCCACCGTACTGCTCCTCTTCTTATTCTGCCTCCTGTCGTCCCTGGGCCAGGTATGCAGTGCCCAAAATGGGGGTATTGAGATCACCCCCATATTCGAGGGCCCGGCATGGGATGCCGATAAAGAGCACGTCGTGCGTCAAGCGCTTGCAGATGCGGTGCGTAAATCTCCAGTATCAATTACATGTGAGCTATTGACTGATCCTGCAACCCCGTTTCTAGGTACTCCTTGCCAATGCGGCTTTTGACGACAGCGATAATCTCCTTTCGAAAACTGGCAGCAACAACAAAATCATAAACTTCAAGACTGAAGCCGCAATCGAATATTGGGGTCCGCCCAGCAAGACCCTTGGACTTCGACAGCGTATTTACGATACCTTTTACCGCGCCACCCAAGCGGGATGGGGTCGGGGCTGGGCCGACTGGTGGTACGAGCGCTACCTTGAAATGCACCGTGATGAAAAAGCGGTCCAATGTAAGGGAGTTGATACTGCATACTGGTGGCCCCCGACACAGGGCGATAGTAGCAGAAAATACGACGCCATCATTTGGTGTGACACATTCTTCACCGTCCTCGATGATCACACAACGGTAGAGAAGCGGATACTGGCGGATACGACTGGCAAGTTTGAGCTCAATACAAGGAATATGCGAAGCACAGGTAGGTTATCTCCGGAAATTCTTCCCATATTACACACGCTGACTTTCGAATGTAGCAACCACCGCTCTCCATCAACTGCTGCATATCGGGCTCTCGAATGTGGAGATCTGCGAAGGCGGATGTGAGTGTGCTGCGTAAAATCATCAGATTCTACCTGAGACTGACATGATCCAGGCCGCGACACCACGCAAATGATCGGCGATACCACGCCCATCCCGTCGTATAAGACCGGTCTTGCGAAGCTTCTAGCGGCGAGGGACGTCCAAAGCGCTGCACAAAACAACGATAACTACGTTTATTTCGCTGTCTCACGGTACATGCAAAAGAAGTTTGGGGTATACCCACCCTATCCACGCATGTGGAGTGTGAGTAGAACGATAAAAGAGAATTGGGCGGTTGAAGACATGGAACCGGGAGCCCCTGGCCGCATTTATTTGGTGCTTGACTGGAAAGAAGATTCTCATTACGACCGCTTTAGCGAAAAGACAGTCTCGGATGCGCCTTACATGATGTCGATCTACCCAGAATGGTACCCGCCCATCAGCTGGCCGGTGGACGAATCGGCAATCCCGTCTGCACTGGCCTTCTCCCACCCCAATATAGACGACGTTGTATGCCAGACGACCACCGAGTCCGCGCACTACAGCGATTGTGTGTCCGCCTTTTCAACGCTAGAAGGTCTCGATCGAAATGCGGTGAAGGCCCAACACAAGAACAGCGGCGATAGGTGGTGGGCGAGCGTGGCCTCGACATGTGCGGTTCAAGTCCACTATAAGGGCGACTGGTCGAAGTGTGAGGCTACGCTCTCGGATATCTGGGCCCACGCCAAAGATGTTTTCGAGGGGTGCCGTGGCGCCGGAACGATGGGTGGTTACGTTCCGTTTGGTGTGCCGAATTGTCCTGCGACGATCGATATCGTGTCTAGCAGTCAGTGGAGCAACCCAAATCAGGTTTAGACAGATTTACGTCGTCTCGGATACTGGCGGGAAGGTTATGACGTCGGGATAACACTAGTGGGTTGTATATATAGTCGCGAATATAGAAACAGACCTCGGGAATGTCGCATGAGATGATGTTGATGGTACGCGTGCGATTCCTGGAAGTTAAGGAACGTATTTTCAATCCATCGAGTTGGTGTCGCAAGCAACAGTATATATAGTCAAGTATGAGGTGGTGATCCGATTCCTACGCTACCCTGGTCAAACGAGAACACTATGGATCGATGCAATCTGCCTCAATCAGAGTGACAGTGACGAGTTGAACAAGCAGGTGCCGCGAATGCACGATATATACAGATTGGCTTGGACGAGCACGCTGTGGTTGGGGACAGAAGACGCCAGCAGCACCCTAGCGCTGCGCAAATTCCGCTATCTGGGCAATCAGATCGTCGCCGAAGCGGACACTGGTCTGCTCTTTAGCGCTCCCGGCGCGGAAGAGAAGGAATGGTACGACCCTGACTTCAAGTTGCCTTACACACCCGAGACATGGGATAGCATACAGACTCTGCTCCAGCGTCCATGGTTCCAAGGGTCTACAGTCCTACGAACGAGCCGATGAGGAAGGCGTATGCCCTCACACTCAACTGCAGCATTACGAAAGAGCGCGAGCCAGATTGGATACTCAGTTCGACGAAGGCTTGGGTCGACCAGGACTTCGGGGATCAGGCACTGTTTGGTCAAGGCGTGACTGAGTTGCCGAGCTCCGCAATCAGAAGTGATGTCTTGGACGCCCTTCAATGTTGCGCCGATCGCCTCTTCTTCCGTACCAAACAAGGATCCATAGGCCTTGCACTGTCAAATACCCGGGTCGGCGACATCATCGCGATCATGCTCGGCTGCTCTACACCTCTGGCGTTGCGACCGAGTCCCCGCGGTCCTGACCACTACACCGTTGTTGGTGAATGCTACGTACACAGGGCACAAGATGGCAACATGCTCCTCGGCTCGCTACCCTCCCCGTGGGTAGGCATGGCAGCCTGGGCCGAAGGCGATCGCCGCGTTCTGAGGTTTCTGAACACCGACACTCAGGAAGTGAGCATTGAAGACCCGCGATTGGCTGGCGAATATCTTGAGGGTTAGGAGAGGACGGCCAAGTTGGTGGATGGTGATGACCCTACAAACTACGACTTCTTCCGGAACAAGGAAACGGGTGAGCTGATCAATTACGACCCGCGGCTTGAACCAGAGAAGCTGGAGAAGAGGGGTGTGAAGCTGGAGTGGTTTTATCAGTATGACTTAAAGGCGGGGAATCTTCTCAAAACGGCCTACTATTGTAACATGGTTTGAGAAATACAATGTGCTGGTTATAGACACAACCACGAATATCCATCATCTCGGTAACTACATCGAGTGTCGTACGCCTCATTTGAGAAGGCATACACAGACTTACCGCCTACAACGACGTGCCGGTTCATCTTCCTTGGTCTGGAACGCGGTGATTACCTCTGACGTCAAAGCTATCGCAATCATACCGTATACCAAAGTACCATCTCAATGACCGGTTTGACCCAGAACCAGACCGCAGTCCGAGTCAAAGGCACACTCTACTCGTTCTGATTACCTCCGAACTGTATTCACGTCGTCATTATGGGCTACGCAGGAAAAGTAGATTTTGGCGTCAATCGCTAGTGCGGAGTTATGGCGACATTAGGGTGTCAGTGGAAGATGAAGGGTTTTTCGTAGTACATTGCCGCATACGCGGTGATAAGTCCCTAAACTAAAGACAGTACAGAAAGCAATGTATTCTTGAAATCTGCACATTGGGAGTGACCTTGTGTGTACAGGCGTTGATGTAGATAGCAAGACACATGTTCTACACCGTGATCTGGGCAGGAAAAGTGATATTAGCGTCAATGCTTGCGGGCAGTCATGGCGACATCGAAATGTCAATGGAGGATAAAGGAGTTTTCGTGGTACATTGCTGCATACGCGGTGTCAAATCCTTGTGCCAAGGACAGTACATAAAGCAATGTATTTTTGAACTCCGAACATCGGAAGTGACTTTGTGTGTACATGCGTCGATGTAGATGGGAAGATACATGTTCTGTCATCCTCTGGTGATGTGATGAATGCACATAGCCCTCAGACTGCATTCAGTATGATGAGAATGCGTTTCCAAACTTGTATCTACACCCGTTCTGAGGGTCATTCCAGCTGACCGTCACATCAGTAAATCATATACCCTATGGAAGAAAGGCATTTCACCAGCAAGGCAACGTGTGAGTACAAGTACATATACAAGTTAGTTTGTTACATACTATACACCCCATCCTACACAGTCGCGCTCTTGAAAGCATCCCGCGGTATCGACATGGCAATACCACTCTTCAGTGCCGGGCTATCAAACGAGCTCTTCAGCCCATCCTTCTCTTCCAGATACTCGCCCTCCCTCAGATTCAGCGTATCCATAATTCTTCCAACCTCATTCTGCTTCTCAACCTCGTACTCCTCGGCAGAAAGCATCAACGTCTCGCCGCGCGCCTTGTTGATCTCCAGAGGCTCGTGTTCGATGGCTGCGGGCCACTTGCCGGCTGCGTAGAGGGCGTCTTGAATGTCGGCCCACCTCACGCTCACACCTTCCAGTGTGTAGGGCTTGACGGACGGTGTCTTGAGAGCTTTGGGCAGGACGGAGCGGGCGATGTAGTGGTCGCGAGATCCAGCCTGGGCTTTTGCTTCGAAAGCCTGCTCGAGGGTGGTGATCTCTGCGCTATGACCCGCGAGGATTTCGCGATCAAGCTCAAGGTCTGCCTCGGAACGTGTAGGATCGGGGTTGTCGAGCGCCTCCTGCAGGGCGCGGGCCTGGACTTTCAGTTCATACAACTTCGTCTCAGCACCGAGCTCGTTGGCGGGCGCCGCTCTCTTGGTGAGATCTTCTTGTAGGTTCTTGAACTGTTCCGCTTTTCGCAGAGCGTACTGCAGCTTCCCCAGGCGGGTCTCGAGGCTCTCCTTGGCAGCCTTTATGCTCTTCTGATCGGCCTCGTTCTGGTGGTGCTTCATCTTCAGCTTATGGTCCATGGACCGTATTTGGCCCTGCAGCCACTTGACGTTATCCGTGGGCTTCGCCTTGGCCAGCCCCGCATTCGCCAGGGCGTCAATCTGCTCCCAGCGCTTGTCGAGGAAAGTCGATACTTTCTTCTCCTGCTCTGCCTGCTCTTCCGCCGTCTTGGCTCCATGCGCCTCTTGTATCCGCAGCACTTCCGCCAAGTCCGCGCTGGTGTTGGCGCGCTGGTCCATGATCTTCTTGACCCTCGTCTTCTTGTCCATGCGCTTGAACTCGGGGTTCGTCTTGTCCCAGGCGGTCTCGTGCAGTCTGCGGAATTCACGTAGCTTGCGGAAGGCATTCTGGCCTTGGCTGGGGGTGGGGAAGGTGAGGACGCAGTGGGGTACCCATTCGTCTGGACGCAGGGCGGGCGGCTTCGAGTGCTTGCCAATGAAGGGAAGTTGTTCGAGGTGGTGATTCTACAACATTAGCAAGGATCAAGCAATTGGTATGTTTTCATACATCCAATAGTTCCTGCAGCGAGTAGATGATTTGATTCGACTTGGTGTTGCGGAAAATGTAGATGATCTCGCCGTGCTTGGCAGTGCCTTCCGGGTCCACCACGTCACGAAGAGTGTAGGGCTTGACCGGTGAGATTACATGCTGAGCGGTCGCTTGTCGTCTCGCCTTTTCGTTTACGACGGTCTGGAGGCGGAGGTGCTGCGGATTTGACTGCCTTTCAACATATGCGGCTATTTGCTTTTGCATATGCGCAACATGCTGAGGGGTGACGCGGCTGGCGGCGGTGGGACTGGCGAGAGATATGGGCTGTAGTGGCGGCTTGTACCGCAGCCGGGCAAGAGATCGAGGCATGGCGGCGAGGTGGTGATGCTAATGGCCGCCACGATGGTGGTGGATGAAAGTTGCGAGTCTCAAAAAGCACGGGCCAGGCCGCGGAGGTCCGCTTGATCCAATACGACAGCTGGGAACTCCAAACACGCGTTCACCCAGCAAGCTTTACTATGCGCTGCGTCATTGCGATTGCCGGGGCGATTGATCTGACTTATAGCAATGCCTCAATGATACGTTTCTTTGGAATATTCCGCTCCCGCCCCTGCCTACCCACCAGATCAGCGACGTAATGGCCGGCGAGTCCCAGGCAGCCGAGCCCAAGTCTCCACCACGTGAGCGCCCGTGGCTGCTTGCATATGTATGCGCGTCGAGGATACAAGGGTTATAGTCGCTGATAGTCTGCCAGAATCGCAAGCTCAGACACCTCCAAGGCATCACCATCCGCAACCTCACGCTCAGCTTATCTCCCCCAAAGTCGCGCGGGCGGACCATCGACGATGAAGCTATACCGAGTACGCTCAAGTCGCCCACCAAGGCGCTGGCTCAGAGAGAGAGCAGGGGCCTGGCGCATTCGCGATCTTCGAGCGACCTCACCTCTCCTGAGGACACGCGGCGCAGCAATGGCGGCTTGCGCGAACCTGCCCCGAACACGGCGACCAGACCCGGATATGGAAGGGGACTGCGACGGCGCTCAACTATGGAATGGACCAATGCAACTCCGCTGTTCCGTCAGAAGAAGCTGGAAGACATTACCGCAGGGCGCATGGCGGATACCTTCTTCAGCCTGCATGTCGAGGACCAGGACGACCCGGTATACATCTCCGAGGTCGCGGAGAAGGCGATGAATCCAAACTTCAAGTTTTTCGATCTCGGACCCTGTGGTCCCGGTGTCACGCGACTAGACAAGCTCACTGTGAGGGTGTGGGCGAAGAGCGAGACGATGCAGGATTGGCAATATCTCATGGACTACACAGTGCAGTTCAGGTCGCTGCAATTCATCGGCAGAACGCTTGGAAGTTTCAGGCATCCCCTCCCGCAGAACTGCATACTATTCCATATGACGGACGGAATCTACACCAGCTTTACGGATCTGCCGGTAGAGGAGCGAATGCGCCCTGAACTTCTCGCACCGCCGAAGAACAACCCAGACGGGAAGGCGCTTACGTCGTCGTCCTATGATGCGCTCATGCGGCTATCGACCCTAGATGACTGCATTCAGGATGCGCTGACGACGCGAGACCGAATCGCCGACGAGATTGAGGGCATACTTGCGGCGAACAAGGAGGATATCTGCACGGTCGAGGCAGTCCCTGAGACCGAGGAAAGTCTGCGCACCGTCCAGGCTGCGGTGACTGCTGAGAAGCGAAGGGTGGTGGCTGCGAGGAGGAGGCGGGACGAGCTGCAAGCCAACATCAAATATCGACGAGAGAAGATGCAGGCCGGACGAGAACTGCAAACACAAGCCGAGTCTGCGTTATCTGAAGAGAGAGCAAAGTGCACCGAGAGTAAGGAACTCATAGAGAAAGCTGCTGAGGATATCACTGGCCAACGGCGAAGGGTCTGCGAGGATCTCCTCAGGATATTCCCCATCGAGCCTGTTCAGGGCAAAGCGCTTGCCTTCACGATACGAGGTCTGCTCTTACCCAACTCCAACTTCGACGAAGTAAATCCAGACGTCACCTCCGCAGCACTAGGCTACGTCGCGCAAGTCGTCAACTCACTATCGCTCTATCTCTCTGTCATACTACCGTATCCAATTACACCACACGGCTCGACATCGACTATTGACGATCCACTCGCCGTTACGCAGGCCAATCAGAACCCTCAACGCACTTACCCCCTCTACATGAAGAATGTTGTCAGGTATCGCTTTGAGTACGGCGTCTTCCTCCTCAACAAGAACATCGAAATTCTTTCCAACTCTCTCGGCCTGCGCCCCGTCGACATCCGCCACACACTACCAAATCTGAAGTACCTACTTTACGTCGCAACCGCTGGAAAGGGCGAGCTTCCAGCGCGGAAGGCGGGCGGCATCAAAGGCTTGTTGCGGCAGGATGGTGTTCTTTCTAGAAAAGGAAGCATGGACAGCACAGTGACAGCAAGCAGCGTTGGCACACCCACGACTGAATTGAAGAAGAATCTTGAGATTGCGGGGAAGAGATTGGAGATAAAAGCAAATGGTGCGCCGACTCAGATACATGGTCATGCAGGGAGCAGACTAAGACCTGCAGCATAGCGACATAGCGGCATAAGCGGAAATGTATGTTCATCGGTATGACAGGTCTGGTCTAACTGGTTTGGTGAGTGAGTGCAGCCATGTAGATGTAGACACCAATAGTCAGTAATATGAGCTTCGAGAGCACCGTTGCTTTTGGTCCGGGTTGCTGCCCGTCCTATGACCCCGTAGTCGATTGCTAGTTCCATGCACCTGTTACGCACGCTCCTGTTGTCTTTCTGTCGGACCGCGGAAGAGACCCGGGCCGCACCTCCATCAGGGTCCAAAAAGCATTTCGCATCATCATTCACGTCGCATCGCGTTCTCCAGCATTTCTAAACAGTAGTTTAAGCGAGTACGCCGCTGACATAAGTCGTACCCCTGGCATTCGCTCACAGCAGATCGACGCGCTACGGAAAGCCAAGCGCTCCACTCCACCGGTCGGAAATTGCTTGGGACGTCGAGCCAGCGAGACCTGACTTGCGGCGAGCCTCGGGAAAGCCAGAGAAAGGAGAAGCAACGCATCCGCTTTTATATCTCAGCCGCTTTATATCTTCTGCTGCAGGCTCTTCTTCGGAGCTTCTTCTACGTCGTCTGGGAGGTGTTTTGTTTATCCTTAACAACAGACAAGGTATTGCGACTACCGACCCGTCTTCCGCGTTCCGCTTCTCCTCAACCTCACAATGACGGAACCGTTTCCTCCCCTCAACGGCGCACTGCCACACAATACTGCAACAAACGGCGCAGCCAGGCGGAGAAGAAAGTCTAGTGCGCTTGGTTCCGATGTACCTGGCGATGTCGACGTCCCAGCGTTGGCTACACACCGCACGAGCACCCCGCCGCTGAACAGTCCGACGAGCATGGACTCGGTGAGTGCTTTTTCGACCCTCATCCAGGGTATGCAGGGCACGCGCTGACAAGATCCTATAGAAACCAGAGAAATCCGCCCGCCGCTCCAAACGACGAACAACACGCCGCTACCTCTCCAAATTCAAGCGCCAATGCATCCGCCATACCTGGCTGCTCCCGCTCATCCTCGGCCTCACAATCGTGTTCCTCTACCTCATCTACCCGTACGAGTCAAATCCGCTGTCCGCCTGCCTCTTTCTGTCCTACCCGCTCGCACGCGACGACCCGCTCATCCCCGCCCACGTCCGCGCAGACCCCAATGGCCCAGTTCACTACGGCAAAGGCGGGCGCGACTTTGCTTTCGTCGGCTTCTACATCATCGTGCTGAGCTTCACGCGCGAGTTCTGCATGCAGCGACTCATTCGCCCGATTGCGATCAAGCTTGGGATCAAGAACAGGGATAAACAGAGCAGGTTCATGGAGCAGGCGTACACGGCGCTGTATTTTGCGCTGTACGGGCCGTTTGGTATCTGGATCATGAGTCGCACGCCGGTGTGGTACTTCAATCCTATTGGGATGTATGAGGGTTTCCCACATCGCACACACGAGGCGGTTGTCAAGGCGTACTATCTGCTCCAAGCGAGTTACTGGGCGCAGCAGGCGATTGTGCTGTTGCTTATGCTGGAGAAGCCGAGGAAGGACTTTAAGGAGTTGGTTGCGCATCATGTTATTACTGTCAGCTTGATTTGGTTGAGCTACAGGTTTCATTTTACGTACATGGGGATTGCGGTGTACATTACTCACGATGTGTCGGATTTCTTCTTGGCTGTAAGTTCGCCTTTCCCCTCAACATCAAGATTGGTTTGCTGACTTGACTTTAGACATCCAAATGCCTAAACTACATCGACTCCCCCATCGTCGGCCCCTACTTCTTCGTCTTCATGGTCATCTGGGGCTACACACGCCACTACATCAACCTCAAGATCATCTACTCCATCCTCACTACCTTCAAGACCGTTGGTCCGTTTGAGCTGAATTGGGAAACGCAACAATACAAGTGCTGGATCAGTCAATACATTACCTTCGCTCTGCTGGCGTCACTGCAGGCCGTCAACCTCTTCTGGTGGTTCTTCATCTGCAGGATCGCATACCGTTTTGTCGTATACAAGGATGCGGATGATGACCGTAGCGAGTACGCGCCGACAGATGAGGAGACGGAGGAGAAGGAAAAGTTGATCAAGGAGGATCTGGAGGTTGAGAAGGATTTGGAGAGGATTGAGGAGGCGCCGAGTACGCCGGCGAATGGCGTGCCGGGGATGAGCAGTGGAAGTGATAGTATTGGGTCGAGGGTTAAGCAACGGAAGGGTGGGAAGTCATAATGAGGGACGAGAGGGTGTTGATGAAATGACATGGGTGATAATGGGTCAGGGTAGGAATTGGGTTTTAGTGGTGGGACTGTTGCGCGCTGGACAGGTATTCGACTGCCTAAGCATTGGGCGGAGTCTGTGTATAGGTATTCTTTCTCTGATGTTCGTGGGAGAAAGTGGCTAATGAGTATGTCAGATATTAATCCATTACATGGTCATAATGTTGCTTGAACTCGTTGGTCTAGAGTTGCATGAGGTGTTCACTGTCGCGACTTCCTCCCCAGTGCGCCTCTGCTTCCCTTAGTGACGTCTGCCGGAGCGAAGAACCTGAGTCGCATCCTCGCACAGCGACCCTCGGAAGTCATCTATCGGCGTTGCCGCATTCGTATCTTCCATAGATTATCAGGGTCGTTTGCTGACATTGGGCCGTCGCGATGGCGATGGCGATTGCTGTACTGCTCTCCTGTCGATGACGTTTGCAGGCGTGCGCGAAATTTGAGCGGCTTCTTCGCACAGCGCACCCTCGAAAACCACCTTTCGCCATTAACACATTCGGATTAGCGACGGAATATGGGTGTTATTTGCTGACACCGCCCATGTCTGAGGAGAATCGCTGTGTGGTGGTCCGCATGTGGGCTAGCGCGTCTGGGGAGTCAACTTCGTTCCACGGAGGGCTCAGTTGGTGTATCCAGTCGCCACCCCAGCTTTTGCACCGATGGTATCGCTCTGGCGGAGGCCCCTAATCGATGCGTGAAATTGCGCTGCAGTGAGGCACCTACTATGGTTTGTTGCAAACAGCCCTTCTTGACCTCCCACTTCTAAAAGGCCCACATTCTGGGGAGAATATTGCGAAATCGCTGTCAACGGTTATCGACTTAAACGATACATCTGCTGTTATTGGCCTCTTCATGTACTATTGAATAGAGTGTACTAAGCTACAGGTTTGACTTAGACAAGATCTTATCGAGTACCTGCCTTAGCTTTTTCTCACAGTCGTTGGGCTGTTCAACAGACCTCCAAGCGACGAATCTATCAGGCCGAACCAAAACACACCCGGTCTCTCCCACTCCACTCTTCCGATGCCAGTCGCGGCGGATATCAGTATATTCTAAGCCATGCCCGATGCCATAGCTGACCACTGCAATGCCCGTGGCTTTACCAATGTTTTCCGCCGCAACCCTCCAAGCTTGCCCACCAACTCCAACCAGCAAGCAAAAGGAGCCTTTCCCAGCGAGATCAAGTGTTGATTCCAATGTATGGCGCGACGCACCATCGAGCCAGACATGAGGTAGTCGACTGCCGGGATATGTGCTGATCTGAGCCTCCACGATGGGGTCGCCCTCCAAGGTAGGCCTGGGGCTGTCCTCGTCGTCCAAGTATACAGCATCCGAGATATACCACTGATTGTAGGCCATTCCGAGGCTTTCTAACTCCTGCCTCTTTTGCTCTAAAGCCTCTTGGAGCCGCGCTCGACGAGCTGAGCCTGCAGCGGTCGCCTGCGTCAACTCTTCCAGCTGCTTAACTCCTTCTTCGGGCGAAGCGGTCATTCCCAGCGCCTCCCATATTTGGGAATTGGCGCGTATTTGGTTGTTGGACTCGCGCACGAGCTTTGCGCCGACCGGTTGCCGCTCCGTGCTATACGACTCCAAGAGATCGGGGCCAGCTAAGCCCTTTGCGACATACGCAACTTTCCATGCTAGGTTGTACGCATCTTGAATGCAAGTGTTGCTCCCCAAGCCAAATGTGGGAGGGTGACGGTGAGCTGCGTCACCCAACAGGAAGACGTTCTTTTCGCTGTTTGAGTATTCGTTTGCAACAGCTTCGCGGACGGTCCAAGGGTCAATCTGCAGGACCTTGACATCGATGTTCTCGTCTCCGACAAGCTCTCGGAAACAATCAACAAGCTCAGGGCTCTCTGTAGTAAGTCCTTCGAATGGATTCGTGCCGCCAGGTCCAAAAGCAACCATGACCCATTCGTTCCATGGCCGAACCATGCGCAGGTGAGCAACGACTCCAGGGAAGGTCTTGCGGTCGGGCTTGATCATCCAATGGAGGCCGGCGTACTGCTTCTCCTTCAAGAGATGACCGAGTTCTGCGCGAATTAGAACATTGCAAGCCTTGGGGCCCCCTGGAGTGATCGAGAAGTTGAAATTGAAGGAACGAGCTATCTGGCTTCGACCCCCATCTGCCCCGAAAAGATATTTGGTGCGGATGTTGAAGTGCTGGTTTGTTATGTGATCTTGAACAGCACAGAGGTATCCTATACCAAGATCGTCACTGATACGCTCTACCTTTGTAAGTTCTGTCGAGAAGCGATGTTTGAAGTTGTGATGAGAGGCATAGCGGAGGAGAAGTGGTTCGATGTGGCGTTGAGTCAAGTCAACGTATTCGCATGGAGTCGTTTCCTTTACTCGACCCTGTTTATAGCAGCGATTAGTCGACAAGCCCCCTTCCAACTAGTCGGTATTGTGTTAAGCTTACCGCACTGACTGGAAGCTCCTGCCATGCCAGGACTCTCCCGTACTCTTTTTCTCCAATCAAGTTTCGGGAAAATCGCATGGATAGAGGAGTAGAGCCACGAATTGCCAGTCGCAACCCTTCATCCTCAAGATCGATGTCGCGGAGACATTCTAGATGAATAAGTCATGTTTCGGCATATGGAACACCTCTAGGGCTATCTTACCGAAAGCAAAAGGATTGAATCCGTGAGCTCTTGGTGTAAAAGCAGTAGAAGAATCTTTCGATATCAGGAGCCCGCTTAGCCCTACCATCTGTGGGTCAGTAGTCATCCGATAACCTTAAGATTAGAGATATTTAATACCATTTTGGCCTAAGAAAGATGCCAAAGCTGCTCCAGCCGGCCCAGCTCCGATGATCAAGATATCTGTTTGGACTTGAGACCCCATGCCGACTAATTGGATGAAAGGGGGTGCGGGTTTAAAAAGGATTGAGAATAAACAATTGTACTTTAGTCAGAGGACAAGTGTCCTAGGCGATGCTTGAAGCTATACGCTTGAGCAGCAATGCAATATATGTATAGTGTTGTCTCAAATTCTGATTACACTTTAGTTTACTGTGAACTGTTAAACCTAAACATTGCCTCACTTCTCGCGTCTTCGGGCCTTCGGCGTGCCGAGCTCGCCTGGTTCCAACTGAGCGTGTATTCAACCGCACAGGTGAGCTAAGCGTCAAATAAAGTGACACAAGGAATCAATCTTTCGCTGGTGGTACTGCTCTTACAGTCCATCGACTCTCGCTCTCGCTCTCGCTCTCACTCCTGCGACTAAAGGCTTGGTAAAATGCTAGCTCGTTGTATTCTCACACTTGTCCGGCCTTGGCTGGGCGCTTGTTTGATCCATCTCAACCTATCGGCCTTCTCGCGTCTTCGAGATGTCCGAGCACCCCGAACTGACAGTTGACTTACTCCGCACTTCACAAGAGCATCTGACTGCTAGTCCCACGCGCTTGCTCACGTGTTCCACCACTTATCCGCCAGCCCCACCAAAATTAACGTGACTCTCTACACAACGATAACAACGCTACGACAACGACGTCCCCTATCGCCTTAATCGCCATAGTAGCTAGCGCAAATCTACATTTATTTTCAAAAACAATAGAAGATTACGCGTCTACAAGGTGGCGAAACTGTGTAACACTCCTCCCTGTATTCTCTAAGAACGCATCGATGGGAGCCTACCACAAGCGACTGCTAACGCTCGGAAACAGAAGCTGTCTATTATTGAGGAGCAGTCTCTCGTACAGTAGATCTTAGACCTCGATTAACGTGTTCTATCAGTAAGCTGCGCAAACACCGCGGAACGCCCGCGAGATGGAGGCGCAATCTATGCTAATTCGAAATCGCATGTAAAACCATCAAGGGTCACCACTAATTTCATTGAATGAGCAGGTTGATCGGCTAAGTAAAGGCGCTCAGCAGATCGCTCATGATATGGTGTTAGTGCAAGAGGAAATGGGCCGCCTTCGAGACGCTGTTGACACGCTTACAAGGCGCAAGACTCGCAAAAGGGGGTACGTACGCGCAGAGGGGATTTAAAAGTTGGTGAAGTATCTGCCTTGATTGCTAAAAAGGACGGTGGTAGGCGTGAGGGCGGCGAGACGCTTGCGAAGAGGGTGCGTGTTAAGAGGCGCTACGGCCGTTGCAGCGAGGTTGGGCACAACTCCCGCACCTGTAGGGTAGAAATAGAGGATGCAAATAACAGAGACATTTCTAAATAATCCTGTAGTATTGTGCTACGTTGCTACGCGTGCGCTGCGATGGTATTGTGGTGGCCGCTCGCTTATGAATCACGTTGTACAATGTGATCCATATGATCCAATCGCATCTAAGGCCATCCCAGGAGACCAAGCGTAAGGTCCTGCGAGGACTGGAGCTGCTTCTTTTTCGCCTTCAACTCGTCCACGTCCCAGTTTGACCAGACAAATTTGCCACTCAAAAATTCTGCCTCTGGACTGACAATCCAGACTGCGAAGGAAGCTGGTAGTTCGACTACATTGCATGTTAGCACAGTTTCCGCTCAATTATACAAATACAGTAGACGATCGGACAACTTACTGTCATCAAATTGGAAATCCATACCACCCTCGGAGCTTTTCTGGTACATGTCTGTCTTGATAACCCCCGGGTGAATATTATGAACCCGGACCTGCGGGTTCTCGAAAGCAAAATATTCCATCAACCTAGCGGCTGCCAATTTGCTTACTGCATACCCACTGTTTGCAGGCATGGGCTCAATGTGACAACCACCAGTTGAGACATGTACGAATGTCGGTTTCTCGGCGGCGTAGTTGAGGAAAGCTTTGGCAAGGTTAAGAGTTCCTTTGACATTGATTGTCATCCCCTTGAACCATTCCTCAGGATCTGCTTGCGCGATAGGCTTCGTGTCGGGTAAGTAACCTGCGTTACCAATGACTATGTGGATCTTGCCCAAGGCTTTCGAGGCGCTCTCAAATGCTTTGTTGACCGCGTTGGCATCGGCAATATCAGCAGTTTCGGCATGGACTGTCACGCCTGCATGGGCTCCCTCTATCTCTTGCTTGGTCTTCTCGAGGCTGGCAACAGTCCGTCCAACAATAGCGATCTTCATACATCCAGAAGTCGCAAATGCATGGGCTATGCGGGGTCCAATACCAGAACCACCACCTGTGATGAGAACAACCTTTCCTGCCGTGGAGAGATCAGGGCGAGAAGGGTCGATACTGGGATAGGTGGCTGTGTGGAATCTCTTCGTGTAGGGTGGGAAGGCCATTGTTATTGAATATGCTTTGCGTCGTAATGTGATTTAGGAACGAGTAGAACGGTCTGTCTAAGATTAAGAGAAGTCTAAAGGGTACTTAAGAAGTGCATGGATATGTATGAACGGCTAGGCGGGAGTCGGCTCTACATGTGACCGGAGCTAACTAACCTTATCTCCGGAGCTTCGAGCATAGATGTGGTAGCTTCTAATCGCCGTTCAATCGCCGTGCTACGAGAGCCAAAGAAGAAAATTCTGCTTAATTACCAGCAGATACTGCTAAGGGACCCAAGTCTTAGCCCAGGTCAGCCAATTCACATGTCATAGTCAAGCGCTAGACCTTAGAAAGGGGAAAATAAAGAATGCACGGCAAGAACATACTTACAAAGAAGGCAGTGACAGCAGAGAGACGGGTTAAAACACCAGAAATCAAAGTGATAATTCCAGCCAGAGAGAGTGAAAATCTCCCAAGAGCATGATGGACTAGACAGAGTGTAGAGTAAGGCCTCGGCTTGCATAACGGCGATGCTTCAATTGTGGATTAGGTATGTCATGATGTTACTGCAATCGTTCTTTTGGGAACTGGCGGATTACTATACTGTGCGAATATCGTTCTCGCTCTCGCGAACACCGTTCTCGCTCTCGTAAGTTCGCTTACGGGTAGCGTCGCGTCTAGTGGGTTGCGGCGTCATCTTCTGCATTCCTCATTGGCCACTTTTGAACACTATCATAGCGTGAATCATTACCGAAAAGTGAGTTGTAAATCTCAAAGAACGCCGATCTGGCTCTATTGTATGCTGAGAAAGCACCTTTTCCTTAGTGCCTGTCGGCTTCGTGAGTTTGAGATTGTGATCATAATATGAAGAGCCCTTTGCAAGTCGCGGATAAGCATGGTTCGAAAAGGCTTATGAAACCATGTAGCCCGCCTTTGATAGGTAGAAGAATAAGCTGCTCTGCTTTTTTTGAACGCTCTTACGCTTCTTGCATGAACATATCGCGAGATGTGTAACGTCAGATGTGATCTTGGCAGTGTTGGTTAGCTCATTCAAGTGATCGGCTTGCCCGCGCGGTACGTAATGAGGAAGTTATTACGTTGGTCGTGCACTTTAATCCCGAGCGGCCTTAAGGTGCCCTAAATTCCGAGAAGAAATTAGGATATGATCTTGCATAGATATTCGTCTGCGGGCTATGTCCTACTGTGGAACTCATTCCGGATCACCAATATATATATATTTATAATCCGCTCTTCCTCAAGATAACAAAGCTACGATTATCTTCTCTCTACCTTTCAATAACTATGCTATCGCGAAAGTTGGCTGTTCTGCTTTTGGGAGGAGCATTGGCAACGTGTCTACCAACAGACCGGTGTGGAACCCAATTAAACTTCGACGTCACGCTTGTTGATATCATCCCAACCATTCCTACTTTCGAAAACCTCGCTGTCCGAAAGAATGGCGAAGTCCTTGTCACGTCTGTTGTCTCTCCCTGGCTACACCAAATCTCGCCAAACGCTAGCTATCTGCCTATACCTATCGCCAGAATACCCACATTCACAGGTATATTAGGTATTACCGAGCTACAGAGGGATTTGTTTTACGTCATCTCCTCCAACATGACTGGGACTACCTGTTCGAACTCTATCTGGGAGATTGACCTGCGCAACGTCACCATTGCACCTTCTGGCGAGATCTCTCAGCCAGCCCAGATTTCTCTTATCCAGGAGTTATGTACAGCACGACAACTCAACGGCCTGACTGGCTTGTCTACGAATGATACCTCCAACCTGTTGATTTCCGACTCGGCGAACGGTGCTGTATACAAACTAAACGTCAAGACCGGAGATTACAAGATCGTTCTGGAAGAGCCAGAGTTTGATCCTTTGCCTAAAGGTCTACATGTCGGAATAAATGGCATTCACGTTCACGGCGATGCTCTATATTTTTCCAGCTTGGATCAAGGGCTCTTTGCTAGAGTTCCAATATCCCTTGCAACTGGCTTTGCTACTGGCGCGGTTGAGATTCTTGCGACGAACATCACCAATGGAGACGATTTCGCCATCTCACCTCAGGGCACGCGTGCTTGGATAGCTACAAACGGCCCTAACGAAATTGTCGAGGTCGACATTGCAAACAAAACTCAGCGTATCGCGGCCAATACTCCTTTCCTTGGATCCGCATCATCGATAGCGCTTGGCTATTGGCAGTCAAAGGAGGTTCTATACGTGACTGGTGGATTAGCTGTTGGGATATCTACTAGTAAAACTCGAGGCCATCTCGCTGCAGCTAGATGGAATTGGCATGAGGTTTGAAACCACTCTTAACATAAGCAGAAATTAGGGCTTGTTTTGCCCTTTGTTTAGGGCTTACTAGGTAGAGCTTAGCTGCACAAGTGTATTACAGGTCTTTGATCGACTGTGTAGAATGTGTTTGGTAATAGAAGTAACTATTACTTTAGAACTCTGCTTGTGAAGGTCGTTCTTAGATAAATTATCTATCTACTTACCTACCTACCTCTAATCAACTACCTGGAATTCTACTAGAGCTCTAGAATGTAGGCGGAAGCGAGCAGAAGCGATAAAAAATAGAGGGTAGAACTTTATTACAGAATTCTAGCACTTAGAGTTAGTTATCTAATATAAGATAAGATATCTAAACAAGATGTTTTATATAGAATCACCTCGCGCAAAAGATCACATCATGCTGGAGTTTGAAGATCTGTCCTCACTCGCAAGCATCGATTTCTTCACCGTTATGGATCTCGTACTCGACGTCTGGAAGGAAGTCGCGACACAGGCTGTCGATCCAAGAAACTGGCCAGGCTACATACACCTCCTCATGGACACCTTCAAAGCGAATCCCGCGCATGTCCATATGCCGTGGCAATTTCTGCAAAGGAAGCATGTCGAATGTGGTATCGTGTATTTGAAGAAGGTCAGAGAGCATGTAGATGTTTGGGACCAGACGTACCCAGGTCGGCGGAAAGGCTTGCTAGAGGAAAGGGGATTGGTATTACTGCGCGATGCGATTGTCAAGGTTTGCGGTGACGTAAAGGTGGGGGACTTCTTGTGGTAGGATATTTGAGGCTTGGGTGTGGTGATCATAGCGAGTGGTCCCAAGATTCGGTCATAGTGTCACATGTTGAATACATCGATCTACCAATATTTTCCATCTGAGTATACGTGCCCTCGCAAACGTCTTACTTAATCGTTCAGCTCTATGTAGTACCTAGATCTCTTTCGACCAGAAGATTGCAAAGATGGGCTACATGGCGTCAAAGATTCGATATTCTGGAGCCGTGCGAACGAGGTGGTTCGCGCTATGGACCAGTTTTACCAAGCCTACAAAAGTAGTTCAGAAAAGCTCTACCACGACGAAATTGCTGCTCTCACATGGAGACTCAGAAGGGAGTTGATCGCGTTCACATCCGACAAGACGTTTGACCTATGCTCGCAATCTCCCTGGGTGATGGGGAGTTACATGTCCGCAATATCGGATTTCACGCTCTTCGTAGGCCTTCAAACCCTCCACGAGCAGGCACTATTTGGTGCGACGATGCATCTCTACAATACGTTACGACAGATTGGCGGTTGTCCCGAGATTCCGATCCTTGATCATCTCCGCAGGCTGTTCAGGGATGTCGTATTCACAGGAAAGCAGTATCCAAGGAAGAACTTTTGCAACATCTTTGAGCTGATCTGTGGAGCGAAGATCTTCAAGCAAACGATACACCGCACACATTGCTTACCACTGCCCCAAGGAAAAACCCCGCCATGCTAATTGCGCAAAGCAGCGGATCTCCATGGGTACGATGGGCAGTTCGGCATGTGACAGCTTCATCGCCCTCTACACGCCCAGTCCAGAACTTTGGGTCAAACTCACAGGCGATCCTAAGATGGCTCGAAGAATTGATAAGGGCCTAGGCTTAGACGACATTTTTCTTAGCTTCCCGCCATCGGAGCTTATTTGTCGTGCACAGGACGTAATCCAGCCTGAGTACGAAGGCGACTTCCCAATAGCTCGGGTGAACTGCTTTGCAGTCTTAGATCTTTGTACAAAGATAATGCTCGAGATTGCTGCTCGCTTCAAAGAAGTCGGATATGCCATGTGGCTGCCGCAGCTCCATCGTATTCACGAAATGGTTCAAGTGATTGAAGCGCTGAAGGTTAGTATCCTTTCGGCGATAGCATGTGTCCGCCTTACAATGTACGATGTCATTAGTAGGGAACCTGCCGATGGTAAGCAGTGGGATGATAACCTGATAGACCCTCAATGGCAATGATGTGGGACATCATCATGAAGGCATGCGAAGGGAAGGTTGAAGACTTCTTATGGAAGAATGTATGAGCAGAAACTTGTCGTGTCTTCCTGATGGTAACGAGAGAAGTCGATGATGGACACTGTGTGTGCGCACAGTGTGATTTGACGGCTGTCGCTCGGTATCGTGTGTGGAAGTTAGTTTGTAGAACTGAATGAGTAAATTCCGATGAACTCGTTGTTAGTGACGAACTAGGGTTTACGGCCTTCGTATGTATTACAGCGGAAGGTGATGACTGCACCGCAAGGACGAAACTGTTGGAGTGCATGGGAATAAGACAGCGTAAGCTAGAATTGTTCTTGGAATGTTGTTGAGGCTGGGGGTGGCGAAGGCAGGTTAATTCTCGGTAGATTCGTCTAGAAGGCCGGGGATGCGCCGCAGTGCCGATCTCATCAGCAGGGTCTTTTGCGGCTTGATGCGAAGTAGAGCCGAGCGGAACTCGGAGAGCCTCAACCTCAGTCGCATTCAATCGCAATACATTGAATGCATCGTCTTTGAGACTTGCTACCAGGAGTTCAGCCCTCGTGATGCAAGGGCCATGCCTTCCTCAAAAAGTGACAGCTACCCCAGACTCTCGCGTTGCTATTTCCGCACCCGACCCACTCACGTGCTGGCGGCCAAGCCTATCTCGACCTGGCACATCCCTGCACGGATCGCTCACCGCCCCTAAATTTTCTGCTCGCGCCATCTCCGGCCTCGCCTCCTTTCCCTTCAGCCCTGTCAACACCGTCCCCAGGCCCACTTTCTTTATATAAACCGTGTTCCGTGTCTGTGTCCTCTTTCTTCCCCGCATTCACTCGAAACCACGCACGTTCACTTTCTCCATATTCAAGAGGGTTTATTACGACGATTACAATCGTTTGCTTATACGTGTCATTACAAAGATTACTCACGTCGCCACTTGTCGCTACATAAACTGCTGTTTCGACTCGATAATACATCCTCAAACCTCAAACTACATCAACAACATGTTCGCACGCATCGCCACCCGCGTCCCCATAACCGCTGCCTTCGCCGGCAAGCGCATCGCACCAGCCACCATCCGCGCCAACTCCTCCAGCTCAACTAGCAGCGCAGCACGCGTCATGGAGATGGCTGCGCAGGCCGAGCGTCCAAGTACGTCATGAAAAGGAAGCATCCAAAATGAAGTAACCTGTACTAACGTGTGTTTCAGCTGGCGCCGAAGCCGCCGTCCCCGTCATGTGGGCCGCCTGCGGTGTCCTGACCTACGCCGCGTGGAACCGCATGAGCGAGCGCAGCGCGGGCGAGAACGTTGAGAAGCTTCTCATCGTTTAGGCGATGACGATTACGAATTACACACTTCTGCGATACCCCCGACATCTTCTTCCTCTTCTTCGTCGACGAGCGATCGGTCCGGCGATGACGGTCATTACCTATACATGCGAGTGCTCTTTGGCATAGACGTATAGACCGCGTGTAACATAGCATGGCATCTTGCGGTTGCTTGTTTGGCTTGCGGCATATAGATCGTGTTTTCTTATTTTTTGGTTCGGTTGGATACTGGGACGGTATGCATATGTGCATATGTCTGGTTTGACTTTGGGGCTGCGGCCAAGGACTTGGATAATGGTCGACGGCGTTCGACTTTGCGCATCAATGCAACATGGGCTCCAGGGCTCTTTCTTCACATCAGTTTCTGCATGGTGATTTTTCGAATCCCGCATGTCTTCACCTCACAGTGCGAGTTCCACCACACGCAAGCATGACGTTCTGGAATCTTTCTTTTGAACATTGTCCCGTGAGGCAGGCGTACCGCCCTTGTCTGCACCGCAGCAAAGTCGCAGGTGCATAAGACGGCCGAAGAACTCATTCTAGAAATCGAGAGGGGACAGCAAACTTCATTAACTTTTTGATTGCTGTTTTTGGAATCGTGTAAAGAGGAGAAACGTAGTTTCCATCTCTTCGTGCTACTAGAAATATGTAGAGCAACGGAATTGCATTGGTCTTGCACTGCGCTGTCACGGCGGAGAACTCGCGAAAACATGCAAAACTGATTAAAGAGTTTTGGATGCCGAGAGAAGGCCAGCAGCCCCATGAATGTCTGCCCTGACATCTTGAAGTTTTCGCAAAGGGAGGATAGAAGTGGAGAGATCTTCTGTGCTTTGGCATGAGAACATATAGCGCTTCAGCACCGACTACTTTCATGGTCCTGGGCTTTACGCTTTTCTTTTGGTTTTACAATGCACGACGGCAGCGACCAACGCGCAAGAACATATAAGATGGTCAATAGATCTGAAAGCCGAGAGAGCACCGCTTACTCCATCGAAAACTGGAGTGAAAGTTTTGGTATATTTTTGAGGAGGTCAGAAGTAAGGGATCACGCTCTACACGTCGAGTGACAATTATCGTGCTCTTAGGCACGAGCCAACGCCACATTATCGCGAAAGCCTGGCTTTTTCAGGTAAGGCAATGTCGCAGCAACGACGGCGGAAGACATGGCATGATCTTAGTTGCTTTTTGAAGTGGGAAACCGAAGAGAAGAAAGAGCACATCAAAGTTTTCGATCAGCCATTTAGTAGTTCTCAAGCAGAGAGAAGATGTAGTCCCTTCTTTCGCTCGACAGTGAAAATATATAGTCCCCTCGACCACTAGCCAAGACTCCCACATCGCCTTTTCGTACAACAGGCTTTCGTTGGTCAAGCGGCGTAGAACATACATCGAGGGTGTGAACTTTTGTAATATTCGCACTGCAGGCTGAGGCGGACACATCAAAATCTTCGATGCTACTTTTGGAGCGCTAGAAATGTATGTATACCGCAAAAGCTTTCCAGTTGTTATGTAGAGAGCGCGAAAAAATGCCAGCATATTCCTGGCCCTCCTATACTTGTTGCTTGGACAGACGGGAGGGGTCATGTGGTTGTCTGGCATAGAGTTTTGGAGGTCGAGAGCGCAAAGACAGGCGAGAACATGAGTTCAAAGGCTTATACTTTTGGGAAAGACCAGGAGTGGAAGTCATAGGCAACTTCATGTTGAGTTTCGATGTTAGCAGCGGAAAGACAGGCCAGCACATCAGCTATTCGGATGCAGCTTTTGGGAGACCAGAACGAAGGGGGACATGGGAAAGGCCCGTCAAGGTTCGAGATTTTGAGAGAGCACTTTACCGCCAGATCATAGACTAAGCCTCGCATTATGTTGTTATAGAAAACCAGTCGCAAGGAGCCATTTCGTGTTCGACTTAGGACTCGAATGCTGAGAGCGGAAAGACAGGCCTGGGCATGCCTTCCGAGCAATTTCATTTTGAAAAAATCAGAACCAGGAACCATAACGTTCTTGATTACTGGCTTCGACGTCGATGTCGTAACCAGAAGGAAAGGCGAGCACATCCCAGCTCTTGAGCTTCTGTTTTTTTTTTTCGAAAAGCCAGACCAGCAAAGTCATATGGTTGGACTGTGTTCATTTTGGTAAATGAAGGATGGAATGTGTGATGAAAAAGAAGAGAAGCAGAACGGCGCAGAAGACGGATATTTATACGCCCCTCAATCACGCGACCGCGGAATGAGCACGGAATTGGAAGAACGCCAAACCAAATATCCATCTGTGGAAGGAACGATGCGCCGAACCTATGCAAATTAACCAAGACGTTGCGCCGCCCAACCATCCAAGCCAACCAAACCATTATACATCCCGTACATGAAGGTTTTGCCGTACATACATCTTACAAGAAACATACAAGAAACATAACATACACCACATCTGTTCTTCCTTATACTCTCGCACTCCTGACCGCACTCCTATTATGCGTCGTGTACCCGTTTTGCCACCACTCGCCCGGCGGCTTCCCCTTAGCTTTCGTGTTCGGATTCGCGCGCTTGTACACCTCTTTCCAAGGATCACTCGCAGCAGACTGTTTGGCCATTTGTTCAAACTGCCTGACTTGTCTCTGAATCTCGCGATTCTCTTGCTCAACGTCTGATACTTCGTTGCCGGCCGTACTTCCACTCTTGCTCTTCGTCTTGCTACTGCTTGCACTGCGCGGTGCGGGCGTTGCGCGGAGGGGTCGGAGGATGTCGCGGAGTTCCTGATCACTCGACGAGATCTGCGCTTTGAGATACGCCATCGCTGTGGGATCGCCTACTGCGTCGCCGCGCGAAAGGGTAGTCATGATGGGCGTGCGGGGGGTGAAGGCATGTGTGTATTTCTCTGGCGTGGGCATGTCGGCTTCGCTTGGAACATGCTTGGGATCAAGTCGTGCTTCCTCGCCCTTCTCCAATAAAGCCATGATATCCAGACTCTCACCATGTGGTATTTTCTCCTTGTTACTTGGCGTGATACAGTCCATATCTACCTCTTTCCGCAAGACGTGGTCAAGATCGACGGCGGAGAAGTAGGCGCAGGATTGGGGGAGTTCATTAATCCCCATCTGCTGACTGAACATTGCGCGCGTCCAGACATTGGCTACCTGGAGCGCCATTGCCGCTTTGTATCTGTCTTCTTCTTTGACGAGGTAACGGATTTCATCGTGGACTGTTATGGCGAGGCGCGCGTCGAGACCATAGCGCCGGGTTAGGTAGTCCATAGATACGATGAGGAGATGTAGGTAGTCGACGCCGGAAGATTGGATGGCCCAGTTGATTCGACTCGTCATGAAACCGCCCTTTGATAGATACCGCCGTTGCAGGGCTTCGGTGATGGCGGCGCCGAGAACGGGTGTGCGGGGTCGTTCCTGCTCAGCAAAGTCTTCCAGCTTGTTGAACACGAAAGACTCGGTGCCGCCGCGCCAGAAAGCTCGTTCGTGGAGCTGTTTCCGGTTCGTCTTCTTTCCTTTGGTGTTTTTGTAGAGGTCGTCTGCTGTTTTGGAGGTCTGCTCGTCCGACAAGGAAGGATTGAATTGGCGGAGGAGGGTTGACGCAAACTTCAGTCCTGCACCGTAGATACGTCCGTAATTGAAGACTTTGGCGTCGTTCCGCGAGATGCCCAGAATAGCGGCTGTGCGAGAGTGCAAGTCTGTGCCCGCCGCCTTGGTACCCTCCAGCGTCATGAAGCCGACAGCATTACCGCCGTGAAGTTTGAATGTCGCGTCGCCAATCAAACTAGCAATCCACAGTTCCTGCGAGTCGACATCCGCACCAACAAAGCAGTAGCCTTGTGGTGCACGTACCATTGACTTCAGCTCCGACCCGACGCGATTCTTCTTCGCGTTGCTAGCCGTAAGCCATGTATTTTCAACCGATCTCCGTGTGACGGTGCCCATTGGTATGATCTGTGGAAGGATGAAGCCGACCTTCTTCCCCGCGCCTTTACCGGATGCAGATACGAGTTTCGGCGGATTGGGTACCTCCTTGTTGTAGACGACCATCTGTTTCGTGATTCTCTCCCTCGCGCTGATCCAATACGAGCAAGATGCGTTCATCTCCAGTGCTTCCTTGGCGTACGCATACTCTGAGCCCAGCTTGCCCTTCTCGAAATACTGCAGGTAGCCCTTGGCGAGGGGATTGGCGCATCTTGCGAGCGGTCCATCTTTGTGCGGGATCTTGTAGTAGACATACTCGCTGTCATCCCTAAGCTTCAGATTTTCTTCCTCAGACATGTCCAAGACCTTCAACCCCTTGTCGTCGTAGGCAAAGGCCTCATCCAATGGGACCTTGTATGTCCATCCGTGTACGTCCGACCACACCAGAGGATTGCCGTCCCATGCCAGCTTCAACAGAATCGGCGTGATCCGTGTTCGTACTGTAAGAGCCATCGGGGCGTCGTTCTTGGCAAACAGATCCTTGTACCACTTTGGCATACCAGGCTTCTTCTGACGGGCTGCTGGTCTCGGCGGATCGCCCTTCTTCTTCCCCTTGACCATCTTGACCTCCTGCCCTGACCAGTCCAACTGACTCAGCCATGGGTCGTTCTCATACACCTCCGGCTGATCCTTGACCTCCAGCGCCTTTTCCGTCAACGCCACTAGCCGCTCCTTCACAGCATCGTCGAGCTGTTTGTATGTCGCTTCGGCGTTGTGGATATACGCATCCCACGTCTCGTTGACAGGTAGAATCTCGGAAGCCAGGAATCGCAATGCGGCAAAACTCACAGGATGCGGACATGTTTCGAGGAACAGCGGAAAGACCTTTTGATATACACGATGCGTGATTTCTACATCAGCAGCACAATAGGAGAGCAGGTCTTCCAGCATATCATTGACAGCCGCACGGTCTTTCTCACCAAAGTACTCCCTCTGCGCCTTGTCGAGTGTAATGTTGCAATGGAACTTGGCCACATCCCGTAAGGAGTTGATGGCGCTTCTTCCCATCCACAGCTCTTCCTCAGTCGGAGGAGCCAAGACCGTGGAGAGACCTGCATTCTCCTCGTCCGTGGCTGCCTTGTCCTGCTTCTCCTGATCCTTCCTGTTCTTCATCCATGACGGGCGTTGGCGTGAGCACATGCCGTTGGAGGCTACATGGAGGGACATGGTGTCTACGAACGCGTTTTTCGATTGCGCGATATTGTACTCTTCCGCTATCCTAGCCCTGTCGTATCCAATGTTGTGTCCGACGATGACACGGGGTATCGAGGTGTCGCCGAGTGGGATGAGGTGGCGATCTGACTTGGTCTCGCCCAGCAGCCACGGCGATAACCAGGCATACCAGGCGGTGGGACTGGCGGCACAAGCCATGCAAGCAAACGACGTCACTTTCCACATGACTTCGGTATCGAATGTGAGCATCGTCTCGTCGGGCGCATCTACAGCTTCCGTTGTGCCGTCGCTGTTGTACTTGGTCCAGCCGCTCCGTCGCACCCATTTGGTTGGTTTAGGTGGAGGATTCGCCCATGCCAGCTTCTTTGCCATACTCAGATAGGGTTCCGCCGTGTCCATGCCCAGCTTGTAGAAATGCTCGTCGAGGCTGGCCCCTTGTAGTTCCGGCAGGTCGAACCCAACCGGCGGGGTCTGGTCTTGGTTCTTGCCGAGTAAGTCATGGCGACTAAGGTGGTCCTGCGACAGTGCGACGAGTTCTGGTGGTGGTTGGGTGCTTGCGCCGGGGAAGACCTGCGAGTGGATGTGCGAGGAAAGATGCTGAACGCCGATGGGACTGAAGCGGGCTTCCGAGGGGACTGATAAAGACGCATTGACTGTCACACCACTCAGACTCCCCCTTGCATTACTACCGTCTGCATCCGGCGACTGTGTGGGCGACTGTGTGGACTGGACTGTGGCGAGACATCGTTTGGAGGTGTTGGCGAGATGTGATTGCGCATGGACGGGTCGCGGTCGGGCGGCGTGGGCGGCAAGGGAGCGACATGAACAGCGCATCGTCAGACTGGAATACAGCAGTCACTGCATGGCGTCGGGGGGTTGAATTGTCGTAGTTGAGGTTGCAATTCGGTGTCGTCATGTTCAGTGTCTAGTTCACCCGCAGACTCTTGGCGCGGTGCAGTTCCCCTCAGCCCTACGCGATGCATGATATAGCACGCCCGAGCCGAATGGCGGCCGCTGCTTTTGCGTCACCAAGCCCCCGGGACTGCGACACCATGCCCAGACCAGCAGCTACGCAAATGGTGAAGGAGCACGTTGCCCTTCCTGACCTGCCCGCCCCCTCGGCCTGCGCTCGCCACCATGTCGGCCGACCGCTCTCACAGGGACGACGATGACATAACCCACCCACTCCACGACGCCAACCTCGACACCCCCGATAGCCACCACCACCACCACTACTCCCCCGAAGCCTTCGACTTTGGCGAGCTCTTCGGCCACTACAGCGCCCCCGCCGACGAGGGCCAATTTGACGACGTCTACCGTGCCCCGCCCGTGCCCTACTCCACCGGCTTCTTCGACCACGTCCTCAATCCAGCCGGGCTCGATCACGGACGCTATTCACCCTTCGCTTGGCGCCCGTACAGCCCATTCACCGGAGAGATGCCGCCCGCCACACGCGCACGACCACAGGGCTCACGCCCTGACCGTCTCGCAAATGGCTACGTCGACCTCACCAGCGCCCCCGAGTCACCACCGCGGAGAAGGAAGCCGCAGTCGCCCACCCCGGGCCCCTCAGCGAAGCGCCAGAAGCGGGACGACGGATCAGCAGCGGAGGTCAAGCAGCAGAGCGCCGAGCCCGAAAAGATTGAAGAGCTCGACTTGACGGAGCAGAAGACGCCGCTGCAAGAGGCTCTGCAGAAGCAGCGCGAGGATGCTGTCAAGGCGCAGGCAAAGCCAGAGGAGACCGTCACTACCTTCAACTCGTTCAACTGCGTCATCTGCATGGACAACCCCACAGATCTTACGGCGACTGCGTGTGGTGAGTACAATCCATGCCATCTCAAGTGTTTCACTAATTGTCCAGGCCACCTCTTCTGCCACACGTGCCTCATGGAAGCCCTCATCGCCGGCGAGAACCGCACCGGGCCCCACGAAACGAAGCGCTCTCAGTGTCCCGTCTGCCGAAAGACGATCAGCCGGAATAAAGCGACGGACGTGATACCTTTGCTGCTGAAGAAGGGTCTGGCTACACAGCCGAGGAAGAAGGTGGTTGCACCAGCTGCAGCACCCGCACCCAAGGTAGCTTGAGCACTTGATTGAGCACTTGGATTTTGTGATACTGTTATTGCTACTTGGCTTTAGTCATGGAATATATTGCTAAGCCCTCCCAGCCAGTCAAGACAGTCAAGAAACAGCCTCAACGCCTACCTCGAACCACGACGCGTCGCACGAGACGGGAGGACGACGTGGAGTGGGTGTGAGAGAATGGAATGGGCAACACGGGAGGATGATACTACTGGGGTGTGAGAGAATGGGGGCTGTGATGAAAAGCTGAGGCTGGTTATGTTCAGGTAATCCACCATCGCGACTTCCTCACCAGCGTATCGATAAGCCGGCTGTCTACGGACTGCTTTCGCACTAGCGCCATCACGATGACGTACTTCAATATCTTGTACTACCAGATTACAGAAGAAGAAAGAAATCTGAACCCACCGAGTAGCCCCGTCAACTACCAACTCCCCTCCACCTCTCCATTCCAATCCAATCGTTCTACAATTCCATAACCTACCACCCAGCATGTCAGACCCCAAAAACACCTCCTCAATCGCCATCCTCGGCGCCGGCGATGTAGGCGCTACGATTGCGTACAGCCTCATCATGAACCCCGTCGCCGGTGACATCCTGCTCGTCGATCCCAAAGAAGAAGTCAGAGACGCTCAAGTGGCGGACTTGTCAGATGCCACCTTCCACGGTAACACAAGCACCCGGATAAGAGCCGGTACGCACAAAGAGGCGGGACAGTGCGATATCGTCGTGATTGCTGCCGGTGCAAAGCAGAAGAAAGGCGAGAGCAGGACTGATCTAATCGGCCGCAACAAATCAATTCTCGAATCCGCAATATCAGATATGAAGCCGTTCCGCGAGGATACCGTACTTCTGCTAGTCGCAAACCCCGTTGACGTACTCACCTACTTCGCCCAACAATACTCCGGTCTTCCGAAATCCCAAGTCATTGGTTCAGGCACTTTCCTCGACTCCGCCCGCCTTCGTGGTATCCTCGCGTCCAAAGCCGAAGTCGCAGCCTCCAGCATCGAAGCGTACGTCCTGGGTGAACACGGCGAATCTCAATTCGTTGCCTGGAGTCTGGCTTCTATCGGCGGTGTCCCGTTGTCTTCTGCGTTATCTTCCAAGCAATCAGGTCTGCTGGATAAGGACGCCATTGCGGAAGAAACGAAGAACAAAGCTACAAGCATTATTGAGAACAAGGGCGCGACGAACTACGGTATCGGCGGCGTCGCGGCGTCGATATGTAAATCCATCATCTTCGATGAGAAGATTGTGCGGCCGGTCAGTACGTACCAGGAGGATTTGGGGGTTTGTTTGAGTATGCCGGTTGTGCTGGGCAGGAAGGGCGTGGTGAGGGGGGTGCAGATGCCATTGGATAAGGAGGAGAGGGGGAAGTTGGAGGGTAGTGCGAAGGCATTGAGGGAGGTTATTGAGGCGTAAGGTGATGCATGGTCTTTTTCAACGTCGGAGAAGTCATTGTATTCCGGGGTATTCCGCTTGTTCTGATAGTCGACCTGCGTCTCTTTCGTCTTCGGCAGCTGCGGTGCTATCTGCTCCAGGAAGGCCTCTCTACCGCTGAGACGTCGTGTTCACCACCAATCAAGTAGTGCATCACCATATCGCTACAGTGTGGCCCGAATGAAGTCTTAGTTTTGCGTGATTTGCTTCACGTACGAAGTGAGCAGGGCTTGCGCGTCATTGTTGTTGCGCTTTCCGACGTAGGCATACTTGTCAATGAATTGACAGATGAAGTTGCGATATTGGGTCTGGCAAATGGAGCACTCGCATGGCGCTTGATAAGCGGTCGCATCGCTCACATCAGTCTGCGCGAAAGCTTTGCAAGCCAACGACGTCAAAGACGCGGGCCAGACATAATCTTTCTCATCCTCGTCTGCGTATCCGTCAAGCTCGTATACTACGCTCAGGTCAGTCGCTCACTCGTCTACGTACCAATCAGGCCCCATTGCTATGTAACAGTCACTGACAGATCGTGAAGGTCCACAATGTCACCGAAACCGCTCGACGGCGTGCTTCGTGGCCAGCCAGACGATTTTACTCACGCCAACAACACGAGTCCTTTGCTGAGACTGGCCGGCGAATTACGCAACCGCATATACATGTACGCTCTCCAAGCAGACGACGGCCTGGAGTTCCACGAAGGTGTCGATGGTCACACACCACGCTTTCTTGCTCGTGGACTTAGCAACCGGGACTCTCAAGGCGACTTCAATCAGCTGGAGTGGACCTGTCGACAGTTATACAACGAGACTACCGGGCTGGAGATTAAAGCCAATCGAGTACACTTCATTAGCCACGAAGATTCCGTCGGGCTTGCAGACCGTGTCCTGGACTTCGTCCGGAACAACGCAATAAATAAACGGGGATAGTTCTGTGATAACACTCTCTCAACGAGCGCGGGCGATTATTGGGGGGTCTCCAGCCTTGACGATTCGCTTGACACGAAAGATGCTATGTTGGCGCTAGCCGATTTCTGTCTACAGCACTCTCATGTCATCGTTCGCTATGCCGTTCCGAGCATGGTGTGTAGTTATTATGGCGGAGAGACCATAACACAGGGCTTGTTTCTCAGCTTGGTTGTGCGTGGAGAGGATCTACGGTCGGTCGCGAGTGTCAAGGGCGGTGACATTAGACCGGAGTAAATTGAGATTGCGACGTGGCACAAAGACATAGAGAGCGCTGCAAAACTCCGCGTCGCGAATCTGCGAATCTGGTTGGCGGAATCATCAAATCTCGGGTGCGTTAAATTTGAGCTTGAACACACGCCCTGGCTCGAAGCCGAAGAATGTCTTGGCCTAGCGACGAGGTGGATTAACAAGGGCATCTAAAGAGTTCCGGGGTACTAGGCGGCTCTTCTGGGACGCTGGGAGGAAGGTACGTTTAAGCAGGCTATTCGATGACAGGAGTCTGAAGGAAGAGTGTGCTAAGGTTGGGCTGGTCAGGTCGAGCGATGAGAAGGCCGAGATATGATGAGATCCCGACAAGGTTGAGATGATGATCGAAGCTCGGCACGCTAGTGTTGGCGCCGGACATCGGCAGCGGGTCCTCCGATCTTCTGCGGGAGTCCGCAACGTCACGATCACCAATAAAATAACCTTTAACAACACTTTTGTGCGCTTCAGCCTCCTACAAATCTGGATGCAGTGTCTATACCACAATCATGATCTCAAAGCATGCAAAATGTGCCTGGTCAATGGGTCGCTGCCAGGCTTTACTGATAAGCTTAGGCGTTCACATGGTTACGCGACAATCCCTTCTTCTTCTCACTTTCTGCAGTAAACGCCCGGAACCCATGCTCTGAGCATCGATATCATGCGCATCGGTCTTTTTGACATTCCTGTTGCCACTCGCATGCGACGATGAGGTTTCGCGATACCCAGCATCATCAAGTATCATCCGGTCGCACGCGTCTTCTACTAATACTAGTGCGTTCGCGTTCGCCGCTCCAAAGAATGACACCAGCGTCGGACTCTCCTGGCAATGGAGTCTCTGGGTTGCAGCCCCAAAACTCTGACGATATCTTGAGTCCTTTGTGACTGCTGCTCAAGCTCCTCGGCCGAGCATGCTGAAGTTATCCACACAATCGGGTGTACTTCGGTTCCCGAGATCTACCTACGATGTGCTACATGGCAAGGCTTCATCGGCACTTGCACGACCCACAGACGCCCAATCTGATCTCAGTGTCGCATGTACAAATATATAGGGTTTGAAAGCTTGTCCTCCAAGTGGAGAATGCCACATACCATCCTCACAGTCTACAGCAATGGCAGACCAACCCTTCAAAGTTATTGTGATTGGCGGAGGACCGACCGGACTGACAGCTGCTCATGCATTACATCTAGCCGATATTGACTTTGTTGTTCTGGAGCGAAGAGATGATGTCATTGTCGATGTGGGCGCCAGTCTCATCCTCGGAGCACATGCTATGCGAATAATGCAACAGCTCGGTTTACTTGACAAGCTGCTTTCGATTGGTCAAAGAGTGTTGAACAACAAGTCCTTCACAAAGGATGGCAAGAAGTTCGCAGACGGCACATCCGTCCAGATCGTCAAGGAGAAGTAAGTCCCGGCCAACAGCCCGACACCTATTGAAACTCTACTCAACCAGCACAGCTTCGGTCTTGAGCCTATCGCATTCCATCGTGCCGAACTCGTACAAGCTCTTCTAGAAGGTCTTCCCGAAGAAGCAAGGAAGAAATACTATGTCGGCCAGAAAGTGGTCGACATCGCAACAACCGAAACCGGCGTCGAGGTCACCTGCGCCAACGGAACGACATTCACCGGATCGATGGTTCTTGGCGCTGACGGAGTGCACAGCCAAACGCGCAAGATTATGCACAAACTCTCAGCAGAAGACCGATTCTCAGCCTGCCGCAACCCGGAACCGCCATTCTCCGCCCACTACCGCTGTCTATGGTCCAACACGCCGCGGCCATGCGCAGCCGGCCTGGGAAACAACACACAGGGCAAAGACCGCTCGCTCATGTGGATCACTGGCCGTGAACGCGCTTGGTTGTTGCTGTACGAGAAGCTGCCAGAACCGACTCAGGAGCCAAAGCGATATACAAAGGAAGAGATGGACGAATTCGCCGCTAGCTTCGCAGACTGGCCTGTCAACGACGACTTGAAGGTCAAGGACATCTACGATAGCTCGACTGCGGGCATGTCAAATCTGGACGAGGGCGTACTCGAGCATTGGAGCTTGGGACGTATTGTGCTCGCCGGCGACGCATGTCACAAGTTCACACCAAATGCAGGCCTCGGATTTACAAACGGCATTCAGGATGTCGCATTGCTTTGCAACCTACTACACAATGCGACGAAGTCAAGTGCAGGCTCCGATGTTAGCTTCGACGCCCTCCGACAGATCTTCCAGGAATACCAATCTTCGCGGAAAGAGCCAACTGCGTTCGACTTTGGTGTCTCAGCTGCCGCGACTCGCAGCCACGCCTGGGCTACGCCGATCTACTGGTTCGTGGGCAGGTTCATATACCCTCTCTACGCTTTCCAGTGGCTTCTCATGAAGTACGTTGTGGCTCCACGAATGAAGCAAAGTAGGGTGCTGGATTATGTCTTTAGTGAGGATCGCATCCAAGGCCGCATACCATGGGCCTATCCTATCCACACGAAAAGTAAGGAGCTGTAATGGTAGTCTAGCTGGTGTAGCAATAGTTAATGGTAATGGGATTCGGTGTTCTTCCAATTTCGATGGCATTGGGTGATCGGCGGCCTTTGCACAAACTCTTCGTGGCTGGCCGGATAAATACGCGTCAGAACCCACCGTCTCACACCACAGAATATGAACCAGCCAGCAAAACCCACCGAATCGAGCCAGGAATTCACGATCACACACTAACACGCCATACATCCACGGGTGGATAAGCATTTGCGCGCCGGCCCTTGCGGTTGGCAAAGCTTGAGTACACATTGTACGGCGGGGCATACTACATTCTTCCTGTCCAAGCTGAATATTAAGGCTACCTCAGTAAGTCGCAGGCAGGATGCTCAAGCGCCCCCCGTCGGTAAGCAAGACATTCCCATTCACATAACCTCCGGCTCTACTAGTAAGGAACAGTATTGCGCCCGCCATATCCTTGATGTTGCCAGCTCTTTGATCGGGTATGAAGTCCCTCGGCCACGTCTCCTGATTGAGCATGCCCGCGGTCATCTCACTGGGGTACACTGTCGGACGTTAGTAAGCAAAAGGCATGAGTAAGGGGATGCTTCGACTTACAACCAGGCGCAAGCACATTCGAGCGGATATCATAAGGCACCAACGTCGTCGCCAATGCCTTCATGATATGGACTGCCGCCGACTTGGAACCAGCATACGCGTACCCTGCCATCGGTACGCGGTTGAAAGCGCCCGCACTGCTAATACAGATAACCTGACTTTTCTGCTCGATGTTGCCGGCTTTGTTGCCTTTGTCGAGTAGCTCAAGAAACGCAACGACCGTGAAGAAAGCCGATGTAGTGTTTACCGCAAAGGTTTGCGTGAACTCGTCCATATCCCAGTTCCATAGGTGGTCGCGGAATTCGGCAATTGATGCACCCTTTTCCAACCCTTTGAGTGTTGGACCTTGAATGCCGGAGTTTGCGACAACAAGATTGACGTAACCGGATTTGGCGGCGATTTGGTCGACTGCTGCGGAGAGATCGGATTTGGATGTCACATCGGTCTTGAAGTAGTGTATGTTTCCATGCTTCTAAAACAACGCGTCAGCATAGTCTAGAACGTCGCTTGACGAGCATACCGCTGTGCTGGCTGCCTGCTTCAGTACTTCCTCTCGGCGCCCCAGGATGTACACAATCGCACCATTCGCCTCGAGTGCTTGCGCTATCATCAATCCGATGCCTATTCATGAATTAATAACCCTGCATGTAGGAAAGATCTCTTCCTTACCTGTTCCTCCGCCCGTGACTACAGCCACTAGCCCCTTCACATTGAACAAGATACTCGGGTCGAGATCAGCCATCGTGTAAAGATGGTGTTCTCACAGCTGTTCCAAGCTCTCCCTTATGTAGGCGGTACTGTTATAGCGAAAATGCGCGAGGTACGGACGGATATACCGAAGCTGCGCGAGTTGACAGCGACGCGTTGAAGCTTACGGGTTGAGGCTTACGGGTTGAAGCTGATGCATGACTGCGCCCGCTGTAATGCCGAAAAGTACCCCGCCCTAATGTCGCTAGGTTCCTGAAAATCTGATCTCATTCGCTATCGACAGAAATTGCTCATCGTGTCGGCCTGGAATAAAGACGCGTCTCTCGAGCTCTTTCGATGCGACTGCTCCTAGGAGCGTGTAAAATCAGCGAAGTCACCGGCTTCCAGAGCATTATCTTGGAGACCATGGCCCGGCTGCGTATCAAGACACGCATTACTCTACATGAAATACTGAGAGTTCTGAGCAGGTGAGTTCAGGCCGGGGTCGACGCGCACCTAACATCAGTATCATAACGCGCGATCGTGGTGAATGTTCAATTGATGCAGTTCGGTCTCGCGTTGGTCGCGCGTAGTGAAGTGAGACCTGTTTTCGTGAAATCTATATCGCGTAATCCAGGGGAGAAGTATTTGTGCGCCTGTCCCCTAGGCTGGTGTCGAAAAGAAGGTGGTGATGTTGTTGCGATGGAAGGGTGCGAGCCTCGGATGACACCCGCGACCGCGCTAGCACCGCGTGGGGTAATTAGCGGCATACCTCAATGGGCAAATGCGGGGCTGATGCCTAGTCGGCCAATGCTACACCGAGTTGTCCACGATGCGGCGTCGACGTCTTGTAGGAACACGTTTATAACTTCAGCCTCGTGACGTTTGGCTCCTTGCGGATCAGCGACTGCTTCATTCTCACCTTCACCTCACCTATCCTGCTGTTCATCCACAAAATGGGTCTCGCCCCGATCGAGTGTCTACCCGTCGAGCTTCTCCAACCCATCTTCATCGCCGCCGACCATAACATCGCGCTCATTCAAGCTTCGCATCACATCGCAGCAAGACTGTCATCCGAGTACATCTACAACTCAACATGCGACTACTACCTCACTGAGGTACGAGGCAAGCGCGCCGAGCAGACAGCGGCTCAAACCTTTATCTTCGCCAGCAGATGGATGACGTGGGATTTCTTCAAGTCGTGGATCGTGCGACGATTTGAACCCGCAGGATGTCTCTGTGGCCTGACGACAGATGAAGGCTGCTTCGACGCCCAGTGGCCGCCCGACTTCCAAGATGCCACACAGATGGTCTTCTCTAGAAGTCATTTTCCTCGGCTCGCTTTTGTGAAGGGACGCCTACCGAAGAAGCTATTCACGGGCTCGTTGACCCAAGACAAAGTCGAGTTCTTACGATTCTTACTCTGGATTACAGCGATGACTGTCGACTGGACGAACCCTGAAGTTGCGCATGCGACTATTACTGCGAGAAAGAATGCCATGTTGGAACGCAATCTTGAGGCAGTAGAGCTGTTCAACCACAATCGACGCCTAGGCCGACCTGCCGACCTGGACACCGTGCGATTTGCTGTTATCGAAGCTGGCTGCGACCGCTCCATAGTCTATGACACAATACTGGTTTCGACCATGTGGCATGGCATCAAACCCGCCCGACACTGCGCCGAACTTTACAAATGGTGTGATCGTCAAAAAGTGGAAGGGAACCCGAAAGGGCAATGGCTGTGGACGAAGCTTGTTGAATCCTGTATCGAGAGAAGCCAGGAGGACGCAGAAAAGGTGCACTGTCCGGGTTCGTACCTGGATGCTAGCGATAGTTACGACGGTGGGCCAGAAGATACTCTTACGGTGAGCGATCTTCGCTGGAACAAGGTATGTCGAATTCACAATCTTTTCGCTACTTCTTTTTCTTTCCCTAGATCCGTCCGAGAACTGCACGATGCCGTCGAAGTATCGACCAGCAGAGTAAGCACAAGGCCCAACTCGCAATCATGATCGCGCAAAGTTTTGCGCCAACGTTGAACACAACTTTGGGCCGACCAGCATCAAAAAGGAGACACGCGGGGCTAAGTATGCACTAGGTAAACCCACATAGAGGATGGGTTATATCCAGAATGGCGCATTTCGAGTGCCAAACCGTCAACCATAACATCAGTTGGCCCGAGGTCGTACGCTCTCCGGGGTATCGCATGTATCGTGGCCACAACTGTCCTCGTCGACTGAATTGCTGGGTCGAACACAACGGAGCCTCTCAGAGCGTTGAGGTATGGCTCGCACCGCCATCGTCTTCTACTAATACGGCAATGATTATGCGTCGTATTAGAGCGACAAAGAAGTCTTAGGACTCTTGAAATCATAGCTAGCCCGCGTTAACACTAGAGACATCTTCATCATTCCGCAGTGCGTCAGTCTACTATCGCCGGTGTTTGATGTCCAGCGATTAGCCAATTCCACACACTAACACCTCATTCCAGCCTCATCGCTCGTTCGGATGGTTTGCCGACATTCTCCCGCGGCGGTACGGCATACACGGCACGACGAGAGCAGATCTAGGCGACTACTGGCATCATCTATATGGGCAACGACACTTGACTCGCGGGGTTAGTCAGGCGGGATCACCAGTTCACGATTTTTGGCTTGATATGTGGATCACGCAGACGAAGAGTCGGACTCATGAGCAGAGTGGATAGTCGTGACAAGTTCTTGAGTCGCTGCTATTATCTGACTTCTCATTCACAACTTGCTCGAACTATCACGTCCAGTAAAGCCATCAATCGGCCTGATCTTCACCAAATCCGCCCCATCTCTCCGGCCATCAACCATGAACTCTTGGTATGCGGCAAACGAATCCCAACTCTGTAGTACGCATTCCACACGTGTACTTTTTGCTTCTCGGTCTGCGACGACTGTGAATGAGTTTACGCCTTTCACACTCTTCATCACGATCTGCGACAGCTCGCTCCACTTTTCGGCCTCTTGGGTGGCGGATGCGTCCGGTTTGGAGGGAATGTTCATGAGAACGATGGCCGGATTTGATGAGATCGGTACTGGTGATGATGTTTTCTTGGTGATAATCGGGCAGTTGTGGACTTCTGGTGGCTGAGCGAGGACGTCTCCGGTAGTGAACAGGTGAATAAGACCTTGTACAGGCTTGGTAGTCAGGTGCGCATCACTTGCTGCTTGGTTTGCGTATCTAGCACGGTTAGCGACATTGTAATCCATCCGACTTATGAACTTACTCCTCAATCATGTATATCTCAGTCCGCGAACTGTCATCCACCGGTAACGCGCAAACATATTGCAAAACCTCCGGTTCGTGTGGTGCGGTGAACTCGATGATCTTGTGGAATGCGTCAATGGCCTTTTGTCGGGCAGCTGAGTCCTTGAAGACCAGTCTAGCGGTTGTGAGGATAGCTGTCATCCTGAAGCTTGGGCGCAAACATTCGAAGATTGATCACGATTGTCAAGATAGTTTTATGGTAGTGGATGGAGATACCCCGCAAGCTCGGGATACCAGTTCCGATGCTCGGAATAGCCGACCCGTACCTGCAGCGAGGCGCTGATATTGTCGTGGGGGCCAGTTCCACTGCAACCACCGACTAGATACATGTCGTATCCCCCAATGTACGAAGACCTAATGTATGCTAGAGCCTTTGACGAGGCGGCAGTTTTAAGTCAAAGGAATGCACTTCGCGTCGGCACGTGAGTCCGCGTGTCATGACGTCATCATCGGTATTTCACCCACACCAACCGAACGCGCCTTCCCAGCAAACTTCCAATGCTTCGCCCTCCCTGATATCATCAACTCATGTCCCTCCCTCGCTATATTAGTAGCCTCAAACCAAACCTCGCCACCCCATGGCGCGCATACTCATCACTTAACCGCTCCATCCCCTTCAACTTCTTCGCCGGCTACACTGTCGCAAACATGTCTTCCGCAACCTTTCCCGCAACCCCGTATGCCCCAACATACGATACCTGGCCGTATACCGACTCCGATTTCGTGCGATACGACGAAAACGATGATGGCGTGTTCTACCGACAACCCAGACTCGTTACGCATATCGATGACCCGTCAATTGCGCGGTTGACACAATACTACGATGGCGCATTACCGAAGACCGGCAGAATAATGGATATGTGCACGAGTTGGAAGTCGTTCTACCCATTATCGGTCAAGGAAGCCATCCAGAAGGGAGAATTGGAAGTTTATGGCGTGGGACTCAATGAGGAGGAAATGGCAGTTAATGGCGTGTTCCGGGGCCCCGCTCGCTGGCGAGTGCTCGACCTGAACAAACCACCACACGACGTACGAACTGCATGGGAAAATGGCCAGGATTTGCAATTCGACGCAACGACGTGCGTCGTCAGCATTGACTACCTCAACAACCCGCTAGAGGTTTGCAAAAAACTTTTGGAGGCCACGAAAGAGGGTGGAAGCGTTCATCTCGTTATTAGCAACCGGTGCTTTCCAAACAAGGTCGTGAGAAGATGGATGATGCTAGATGAGCGCTCACGACTCGAGTTTGTGGGCGATTACTTGCATTTCGCGGGATGGAAGGATGTACAGATAGTGGATCTTTGCGCGAGGGATGAAAATGGCATGCGCGTCACTGATGATCAGGGGACGGTACTTGTGAGTTCACAGCGACTTCCAGATCACTTGGATCCGTTGTGGGTAGTGCGTGGGACGAAGAAGTCGTGAGCCAAGCATCTGGAAAGGAGTAAACCGGTAGAGTCCATAAAACCGCATCGTAGGCATGTCAACATTTCTTCTGTAGCAACGAACGTCTTCTCAAATCTGTTGAAGTCTCCTCGCCTTTTTTTCGTCGACGATTTTTCGTTTTTCGTACTACGTAGTCCCCAAACATCAAAATGGGCAGCGTCTGGGTCTTCGGGATCCTCGTGGTGCTGTCGCTTCGGCTGGGCGCCTACATGTACTTCCAGCGGCGACGAAACGTGCGCGAAAAGCGCATTTTGGAGATCGCGGAGGAGGCGCGCGCCTACCAGCGTGACGGCTGGGTGAGGCGTGAGGACTACGAGGACCTCCTCGCCGCCTACAATGTAAGTAATAGATTATATAGTTTGATGGTACATGGCTCTGACGATTTCAGACCCTCAAGAATGACACTTCTCGCGCGGAATAGTGCAGCGAGATGCACTTCGGGGAAGCATCGCCCTTCGGGGTCAACATCAAAAGCACGCGTGCCGCCTACATCACCGCCGCCACCACCCACTCGTCGCGCTCGCCCCCAACGTCGTAGTCCGAGATAGTATGCATAATTGGAAAGTAGATAGTAAACCCTTTTCTTTGCGCGTCGCAAAGTCAGTGGATGTTCTAGTGATATTTCGCATGATGTTGAGCCCTGGAGTGGTGCGAAGTGAACCCAACGATTCGGTAGACCTATTACTGTTGTGGAAGGCGCATGTAAGCTGCCAAGCCACCACCACGTCAACCTGAACATACATCCATCGCTCTCACTCTTCACAAGAATTGCAGCTATTCCGTAGCCAACAGCACCTCCTCTAGTCGGTTACCGATCTCGCGATGCTATCCCTTAGCAACGTGACTTCCTGGCTGGCGCCATTACTCGACGCTAATAGCTGGATCAATGGCTTTGGCGAGGTGCCTACACCGCAACGCGAGTTCTTCTACGTTGGCGGGGAGTATCAGAACCTGTCAGTAAGTCACGCGAAATTGACGACTGAACTCTTCCCTCCCAGCTACAGGTACCATGCCCTGAAGGAGTGCACTGCATTTTACTCTGACTTACTGCAAAACCAAATGCCGTACATAACTTCAGGGCGCAGTCTTCTTAGAGGGCAAGCTAGTCTTTTCTTTCTAAACTCCCAGTAAATGCTGATCGTATAGGTAGGAAATACGACCGCGCAGTACATGGTCAACCAGATCTATGTTGAGAAGCTCACCCCAGCAAAGCCAACCCAAGACTATCCCCTCGTGTTCATGCACGGAACTGGTCAGACTGGAACAACCTTTCTCGATACACCAGATGGTCGACCAGGCTGGGCTTCGTTCTTCTTATCGCACGGCTATACTGTCTATCTGAGCGATCAGCCATCGCGCGGTCGTTCTCCGTGGTTGCCGACTACAGGCACAATGAAATCTTCCAGCACGGCCCTGATCGAGCAGCTGTTTACCTCAACGTCATCGCATAGTCTCTGGCCGCAAGCACGGTCGCACACCCAATGGCCCGGGACTGGCAAAGCGGGTGATCCAGTCTTCGACGCCTTCTATGCGTCTCAAGTTCAATACCAGGCCGACAACGTGATATCTGAAGCCGAAAACGCGAAAGCATACACCGCTCTTCTCGACAAGATCGGCGGTCCGTTGCACATCATCGCGCATAGCCAGGCTGGTGCCTATGGATGGCGCGTCGGTGACCTCCGCCCTCATCTAGTCAAGAGTATCATTGCACTTGAGCCCGCGGGCCCACCATTCATCGGAAGAATCTTTGGATCAGGTCCCGCGCGACCTTTCGGCATCACTGAGCTCGAAGTCGCTTACGAGCCGTCGGCGGGACCCAATGCGACGTACATCCAGACTGTTGTTGTTCCTGCAAGAGACGTCAATTCGAGTGAATGTATCATGCAGGATGAACCGGCGAGGCATATGGTGAATTTGGCGCAGATACCGGTGCTGACAGTGACTTCAGAGGCGAGCTACCATGCGATGTACGATCATTGCACTGTGGAGTACATGCGACAGGCAGGTGTGGACGTGGAGCACATGACGCTCGGAGAAGAAGGCCTTCACGGCAATGGCCACATGTTCTTCATGGAGAGGAACAGTCTAGAGATCGCCGAGAAGGTTTTGGCTTGGTTGCAGAGGCATTAAGCTGAGCGAAGGAGCGTGCAGCCCACATTGACGTTGGGTCACCTATTCACATGTTCTCATTCTGATGTAGGCTGCAGCCTTATTCAGGTTCTTCCCAGTGTGGGTGCGAATGTGGAACACCTTTAAACACCTGCAGCATGTGGTTTCGAACACGTTTCGTCTGATGGGAAGGAAAAGGGTGCGGTGGCTGGGAGATGATCGGCCAGATGACGACTAGCGCGCCCCGGAAGAGACTAGTTTCCGCTGCCCCTTCCCTTCCGCCCAGCCAGATGTCGCACCCTCTCACCTCCTCAACATCCATCACACGGCAACCCCAGCCGTACAACGCGGTTTCTTTCCATCTATTCGTGTTCAGTCTGTCGCATATCTAGATCTTCATCATACCAGCACCTTTGCGCAATCTGCTCTCGAATAAAACTCGAACAATGGTCCCGCCCCAACACATGATAGCCTGGCCACTCACAGCCGCCGCAATGCAATTGCTACCGGAACGAGGACATGATCGCGAATAATACGCATTCTGGCTACAAGCACAGTCGCTTGACTTTACTTACACACAAATCTCATCGAGCATGAACCATGGTAGATTGAACGCTAACCTTTGCTAATCATTTTCCCACTACACAGATATGCTAGGGATTCACTGACCTTTATTTTATCACCGCCTCTGCCAGAACCTGTCGGCACATGAACATCGGCAACCCCATGGAAATGTTCCGCCGGTGGTGGCGCATGGAGCCAAGGCAGCCTTTGCAAGACCATGGAGAAGTGCAGCTACGCAACCCTGCACCACAACATGCCTTTGTTCCTCGACCAATGAGCATAAAATCAACCCTTTCGGGTTTCTCCAACGACGAAGAACCGCCGCCCTATGAGGAAATCCAGCCCATCCCTTCCGAAGCGCCATTCCACTTATGCGAGCACATGTCCGTCACTATGACTCAACTGCGTAGCCTCTATAGCAAGTATGGGCCTTGGCTATGTCGATGTAGCCGCTACAGTTACGCAAAGCAGGGCGTAATGCCTCCCTGGATCGAAGTAGAACGGAGCTCCAACCGCGCAAAAGCCGTATCGCATTTTCATCTACTGTATCGGCCCGATGGCATTCTGTTATCTCTGCAAGACGTCCAGGAGGCACTCGTTACCTGGGATAGGCCTGTCTGCACACACCTCAAGATCAACGACGTCCACGTCTTCTCATCGTTGGCAAGGCACTTACATCTTCCCACCGAATGCTTTCGAAGAGATCTTAACAGGGATGGTGAACATGAAAGCCGAGGCCGCGAGAACATCTTGCAAACCAAGAGCATAGAGCTACTGAGAAACGCGAAAGGGCATTGTGGTGAGTTGCATTGCGACACGCACTTCGGGTTGGAATGGATTCGTGACGGTGGTGGGATTGGGTTTTGGGTAATCCGACGCTTGGGAACCATATGATCATCTAGCGCAGGAGAGCTCGACCTTTGAGCCGCAGGCTTAGCTCAAACTTCAGCCTGGCAACTACAACGCACAACCTGAAGTCACTGGAAGCCAATTTTGGCCTACGTAGCCGCCACGCGCATCACCAACGGTCACGACAGCGTTCGACCAATGCACACACGACTCGCAAGAATAGCCCCATTCCAGTCATTATACCGTTACAGTTCGAGGCCGACGCGATCAACCTTCCACACTCCATGGCGGAGGTCGACCAGGTCTATTTCTAATACTACGTCAAGGAGCAGACATATTGAAAGAACTGCATACACAAGTTACCAAATCTAACCCTGGCGTATACGTAGACACTGCCAACACACTCTCTTTCAGTGTGAAGTACTCGAATGCGGTATATAAGCTCTCAAGTCCACGCTCTTTTGCTTTTCCACAGCTACCACTACCACTACCACTACTACATCAAGCAATACTACCAAAACCACACTACCAGTTTCAAAAGCCTACCAAGTCTTTTAAGGAATTTCCTCTAGTTCAACTACCACTTCTGCTTACCACCGTCCTCAAAAGAACCCTTCCTCAAACCATAAAACACCACCATGTGCACCTACGAGCCAATTTTATACATGGGCTGTGGCCATACCAAGAACGAGTTCATCAAATCTTGCCAGGGAAAGCGACACGGATTCGCGTGCTCAGATAGCAATTATCTTAGGGCGAGAAGGAGCACGGGGAAGTGCAATAACCCCTGCAGATGATTCAGGAGAGAGCGATGAGGAGAGGTGGATAGCGAGATGGAAAGTCGATTTGTACGATGTATGAGATAGGAAATGAATGAATTCACGATGTATGAAATGATTTTGTTATGATTTGCCGTAGTGATCGCCTGGATTTACTGTGTGGTGGGGTTCTGAGAGCCTGATTTTTGGATATGCGGTTGAAGAGCGTACGACAAAGCTTATTTTGTGTGAAGGTCTTGCCGAATACATGAGTCTCGTTGGAGCGTCTACTTTAGGTTGCACGTCCACGTATCCTCCAGGCATAAGCGTGAAACTTGAGAATACAGTGTCGCTGCCGTCGCTATCTGATCAAACCGAGCGTTCTCATCGTGCGTTCTCATCGTGCGTTCTCGAAAATAATCACAATATATCAACATATCCACGTTTGATGCTTCAATTATCAACGATCATGAAGACACAATCAACCATTCGTGAAGCTGCATTCCAACGAACATCTCCCTGTGACAGCGGCATGAATGTATAAAGCCTTCGAACTCCTTCTGTTTTGGTACACAATTCATACATACAGCAAAACATCAACCTCCATCATACCAGCCATCCATTATCAGCAGCACAACATCAAAAACACCCCCAAGCACACCAGGCATCAAATCCAAAGCCTCACACACCATCCTCCCAACTCCTCTAAAACCATCATGTGCCGAGTCCACAAAGTCATCTACAACGGCTGCGGGTACAAGTGCGAAGACCTACGTACAATCATCACGTGCCCGACCCGCTGCCCGGGGTATTCTTGTATAAACTATTCAACGACAGACAAGGAAATCATTTATGTAAGGGCTCTGCCGCTATGAAGAATCGTGTGTGCGACACAGAAGCTGATCTGGTAACAATTGTTAGGTTGCAGATAAATGCTCAGGCCACGGCGGGCCGATAGAGCTCACGGAGGTGCGTGAGACCAAGTGAGGCGAGTCTGATCGGTGGGTAGAGTGGAAGAGTCAGGTGGGAGAGGTGATTGAGCGGGATGGGTGAAACGGGAGAGATGGATGGATGGGATCTGTTACGAGCGATGTTCAGCTGTTGAGTGTGCAGTATAGTCAGAATGAAATATGCCAGTTATACTCGACCGCCAACGTGTTTTAACTACTCCGGAAGATACTCGGTGCCAGTTGTCTTTGCAGATATTGACGGGATATACAGCGCAGTGCTGCAGACCCTACTAAGTGGAGTGGCTCGAAAGAGTCTCGAGTAGTGATATGCGCGGCGTCGCTCAAAATAAGAAGATAGCTGGGACGGATCGAGAAAGCGTGATATCGGACGCGGCCGGCTCAGATATATTGTATACTCCGTACTGATTGCGTTGTCGGGGTATATTGATGTACCGGCTGCGAGATGTCGAAGCAGACAAGAAGCGTACTCTCACCTCTCACCATGACGTATGCGCAAGCGAAGGCGACAGCAGAGACTGAAGGTCGCGTAAGTCAAAAAGCTTGCTCCGTCATCGCACGGATAGCAAACGCTCATAGGCGGGTCGTGCCTGCCTATCTCAAGCTCTCACCACCTTCAACCTGCATCACCCGCCACACCATCGCCATGGAAGTCATTATAATTCCCACATCGCCAGGTATGTCAGGATACTTCCACGCCTCATCGAGGCAGTCGCGCATGCTGCAACAGGCATGCGCATTCACATGAGATCCGCGACACTAATACCTACTATAGTAGGCAACGAGTACTATGAAGTACGCGCCATCCCCGGGAAGGGCTATGGATGCGTCAGCCTCAAACCCATCGCGCGCGGTACACGCATCCTCGCGGAGGACCCCCTCCTGATCGTCCCGGTCGGCGACTACATGCTCTCCGACGTTCAGAAAGCCTTCGATAGCCTCACCCCTTCGCAACAGACACTCTACTACACACTTCTCTCCTCACACGGCCAGGATCCGAATAAATGGCCGCCGCGCATCCACGAATCAGTCCCACCCCAAGAAGTTCTTCGAATCAAGGAACAACACAAAGCGCGAACTGATCCCTCACCAAGTCTGATCAGTATCTTCCAGACAAACTGTATGGAGATGAATGCAGGCGCCGCAGTATTTCCACACGCCGCCCGCTTCAACCACTCTTGCAACCCAAACGCCTGCTTCTCTTGGAACGCCTCCATCGGCAAAGAAACTATCCACGTCATGAATCCCATCGCCGCGGGCGAGGAAATTACGCTATCTTACTGCGACATAATCCACGACAAGTCGCTCCGCGCGTACGAGCTCAAACACTACGGCTTCACCTGCGATTGCCCGGCCTGCAGCGACGATGAAGAGGACGAGACAGCATTTGGATACCAGAGTGCAGAGCGGCGGTTCCGGTTACAAGAGCTGGAGCGTGAGACGAGGTTCTTCCGTGGTGCAAACCTGGAACAAGGCGCACAGCGAGATGACTTCGTGAAGAAGCTGTTGCAGTTGGCGGCTTTACACAAGGCTGAAGGGGACTATACCGCCAGGCTAGCAAATGTGTAAGTGGCAGTCGGCGTGACTGACCCCAGGCTGGGATTTCGAAAATTCCCCAACGGTTGTGGAGGCCATGTCGTCGTCATAATGGGTTTTGCTCTTGACGTGTTTGCTAACATTTGGTCAGATTCCTCGATATTGCGCTAGTTTGTGAGCTCAGGGGAGACCTTGGTATGGCGGAGTTGACTGCAGGCAAGGCTGTGGAGGTCAAGAGGGACTGCCAGGGGGCGGACTTCCCCAACTATAGCAGGTATACTGACGTGCTTCATCGGATCAAGTCGAAGGTGGCTCTACGGGGCTGAGGGGAGGTGGGGCTACATGG